TGCTTCAGCTGGTCTCCCAGAATTATCCAATCAGTGGAGATTGGCTGCACTCAGGTGTATGCGGCCAACAGAGGCGGCGCTGTGGCTCTAAACCAATCATATAGTTGATGTCAAACCTTTTTTAAGGGGTTCTCTCTGTGTTGCTGTCAGGGGTCATTTCAGTGCGAAACCCCACTCGCTTGTCTTGGTTTTCATCAACTCTCTTCTTCACCACCACCAGTGTCTGGACTCCAGGGGGGATTCTGCAGAACTCGGCATCACGGCCCCTTGATTATCCCGGTTTAGGATGGGGTCCAATCGCCCGAGATTCTGCACATTTCAATATCATACATGTGCAATGTTGTAAATTCGATTGTCTAAAGTCTGATTGAAGTGAATTTACAGCACTTCATTTCATTAATATGCCTGTTTTGAGTTGGCTCGGCTGATCTGGGTGTTTTCTCGCAGACTTTCCTCTTGCCGAATTGTTGACCCCTGTGAACTTTGAGCCTGTGATCGTGTGCGTGTGCTCTGGTGCAGGTGGCCTCAAGTTGTTGGTGCATTTCCTGTGTTGAGGGGCCATTTCCATGGATACAAGTTAGCGCAGCTTCCTGGTTTCCTGTTTAGATACCCTGCGAGCCGTGATAGGCTCTAATCCAATCAGTCGCTTCCTCTACTTTGCAGCATCATTTGTTTGAGTGTCCACAGCCCGTCTTTAAATACACCGTGACTGTCTCTAACATCCAGCAGGACTTGAGTGCTTTTACAATAACTGTCTGGAGGATCTAAGAGTGTGTTACCCTTCAATTAGAAAGCGTCTTTCTAACAGAACTGGTCTGCTTGTAGTGCGTGATGGGATGTTCAGGGGCTGCGATGCTTCATGTGTGTCATTCGTTTTTTTTCCTGACCAACTTCCCTGATGGAAGACTCCTCTGGGCACTGCACTTTATTGACCAGTGTTGACCCAGATGCGCGCAAATCACACATGGACACGCACAACGACATAAACAAACCGCCACGTACGCTGCTGCTGTCCTCCCCTGTCTGCTTTACGTTTTCAGACAATGACCCTTTTCATATCTCACAGCTTGTCTGTGACTGGACCTTATAGCCATGTAGCTGTAAATCACCAGCGATCATCACGAGTCGCTCTGTGCGTTACGATCCGTCCAGGAAGTGAACCCCTAAGTTCATATGCAATAATTGGGTTACTGTCGGGGGGCGGGGAGAGAAAGTGAGCCGTGACTGGGATCCGCTCTGGTTTCCACCGGCCTGATCCGGTGACCCGTCGAGGCGCACACATCACCAACGCGCAACACGTTCCTTCTAACAGAGTTTGACTCCCCATCTTCAGCGGGGCAGTGCCCGGCCCTCGGAGGTTTTGAGCTTTGAGCTCTTCCTCCGCCCAGTCGCACGCGGAAAAGCTCTAAAAACAAACTGCACCACGAGGCAGCGGCTCCCAGGTCATTAACTTTTTATTGGAAGGTGAACACAGCCGGGTTGTCACTCTACCCCTCGGACGCACTCAGCAGCTCCAAAGCTGATGATGACAGGAGAACCCCCCCCCCCCCCCCTTCCCCTTTCTTCAGTCATCATGTCTTGATCATCGTCTCTCCGCCGGCTCCTTTGACTCTCGTCTCCTCTGAGTTTGGGAGGTTTGGAGGGAGAGCGGGGGAGAGGGGGCTCGCCCTTACACAGGAAAGGAGCAGCGGGGAGCCACAGGGTGGATGTTTTCGGTGTGTGTGTGTGTGTTTGTACGAGGGCCGGCACAGAAGGGGTCTTTGTGGGTGAAGGGATCTGGAGAAACGCACACGATTAGCTCATGAACATCACAAACTCACTGAGAAGTCCGGTAAGAAATGGGGACTGAGAAAGGAGGAGCCTTTGTGGGGGACGAGGAAAGAACGGGAAGGGAGGAAAAGGAGGAGAAGAAGAGGAGGAAAAGGCTTGGCCAGGGAAAAGTCCGGCACTCCCACACGCTGGAACCAGACTGGAGTGAACGGAGCTAAATGGGAAAGCAGATTAAGCTCATTTGGGGAAGTCACACGGGCGGTCGCAATTATTGATAGAAATATAAAAGGGAAGGAAGCTCGTTTTTAAGAAAACCCTCCATGGATTTACAGACACGCTGAAAATCGATCGGCAGGTGAGAACTCACTCAGCTTTTTGTGCAGCAAAGAAAAGAAACAGCTGTAGAGGAGCGCGTGGGCTTTTATTTAGTTCATTTTCTCTAATTCCATTTGCTGTGTGTTTTGGATACAATGTGTGCTCATTTTTATGGGAGAGACGTTCCAGATGCTGTTTACTTCCCTTCACGGAGTGTTAGGGTTTTCTCATAATCTGGTAACCCCCCTGGCCTCTGAGGCCTGCAGCCCAACGTGTATGTTATTAGTGTGTGTGTGTGTGTGTGTGTGTGTGTCATCCCAGTCAGAGGTTAAGCGTTTCCAAATGTGATGGGAAAGGAGACCGAGCATGAGACGGTCACATCTGACTCGGACAGAATAGCGATTGTGTCATTTTACTCGTCGTGCCTTTCCCCTTAATTGTGAAGTCAACACATTATGGGACAGGTACAACAGGATCTAGTAGAGCACTTAGTTAGGTTAGGTAGGTAATGTCAGAGTGAGGATGTAATGCACGCCGCAATGAAACGTGAGAGTCAGGACTATGCGGGTCGAAAACCCTCAAATCACCCTGGACGTAGAGCTTTCTTTCTGATCTGACTGTGGCTTGTTGCCCAGATTTAAACTCATAGGAATTCAAAGCGCCGACCCTGAACTACATCCGGTTGTCTTCTCCAGATTCTCGCGAGTGTGTGCGTATGAAAGGAAAGGTAACTCCTGGTCCGAGAGTCAGTTCACACAGTCCAACAATCTGATAAGAATTTTAGCTTTTTATGCATTATTTTTGCACACACACACACACACACACACACACACTTTGCTCCTCGCCAGGTGGACAGTGTCCCTCATCGCAAGTATTTGAGTCCGAGCCTCGGGGACAGCTAGTAATGTCTGGAATGTCAGTTCACCTCAAAGAGAATCAGAAACACACACGGCAATACACACCTCTGACACAAAGACCACACTCACACCGCCATGCACCGCAGCACACACACACACACACACACACACACGCCTTGTATTGTGTGTTGGTGGAGTCGAGTCGCATTGCATATGAGACATTCCTGTACTATAGGTCTGTCTTCCCGAGGCAGTAAAGGGATATCCTCCCCCCTCTGTGCTGTCCTGCCTGCTGGACACACACACACAAACACATTCCTGCACGCGCAAGCACACACACACACACACACACACACGCAGCAAACAATGGATCGAACGTAAGAGGGCCGAGGCTCTAGTCTGTGAATGTGTGTAAACACAAGTGACATCTGGTCGTCACATGGTCGCTAACATCATTAACTGGGTGAAAAATCATTTGAGTGTGTGAGAGTGTGAAGAAAACTAAGAGCTCCGAGATGAAAAGGGAACTTTAAACGTCTTTAAAACTTCAATACAGGTCAGTGTCAATCATAGTGCGGCTAAACAAAGAATAAAGTTGACAAAGTGACTAATGGCTAACTGTACTTTTCTGTCAAGGGCTAGTAAAGTTTTCATTTCTAAAGCTTAGCTTTGTCACATATTGATAATAACATTCCCATAACATAAGTACAGCTTCACAGAACTGATAGCATCGCTGCACACACATCGTTACACAGATGATGTATTAGATTAGAGAATAACTGCATCGGTTTATTTTCTCCCTTTCCATGCAGAGTAATAAAAGTAGTCCATACATCGTATCACTGGTAGACTTGTAGATGTGGGAGGCCGTCTTTGAAGAGATTGTGTTATTCTGACTTTCACACCCTTCATGAGAGAGTGGAAGCATGAGTCAGCCGGACCGGTACAAACAGAAACAATAGAGGTTATCACAGGAGTGTGCGGGGGAGAGACAACCGAGAGTAGAGGGTTCCTTCAGTGTAGACAAGACAAGGCTTTTTTTATCCCGCCCCCCCCCCCCACCCCGTGTGAGTCCAGTCCAACAGTCCGAGGGAGGAAAAGCAGACGCAGGAGAGGACGCAAAAGAGCAGCCGAGGGGATTCAGAGAGAATTAAGACCAAGAAGTTCAACGGGAGAGAATAGTAGTCGAAGGAAAGAAAATGATCCGGCTTTGAAGCATGACTGCCCACTTTTGGAGCAAAATCTCCCGCTGATTCCTGCAGGAACGCCTCGTGCGGAGGGTTCACCTGGGCGGGATTGTCTGAGAACATCTTTTAATGAGTTGTTAAGTGTACGAGTGGGACCAAAGCAAACACCTCCTCCTCATGAGCCTATGTGCAGTTCACTCCTCAAGTGGTCCTCAATAAATCCCACCCCCCCATACACACACACACACACACATTCTCTCACGTGTTATAAAGACAGGGGTCAGCAACCCCTCGTGGAAGATACTCGGCCCGAGGCGGTGAAACAGGAAGCCGGTAGAGTGTGTGTTGGTGGGAGTGGGTAAATGTAGCTCCTTGCTATCTGTGGGTGTGGAATGTGTCAGATGGATGGTTCACAAAAGCAGAAGGTCACAGATTTAATCCTAGGATGCACTTGTGTCCACCGGTGTGTCCTTCACTCAGAGTGAAATGTCCACCACAGGCCATCAGTGATTTAATGTTTATGTTATTTTGTATCCCATTCGAACAGTCAAAAAACATTTTAATCCAACAAAATGTTTCGGCATTTCCACCTGCAGCTGTTGAAGCTCAGGATGCCTCTCACCTCTTTCCCCCCCCCTGTAGGATCCTACGTATGCCAGATAGAAAGTCGTCTTGTGTTTGTTCGAACTTAAAGCAGCAGAGAAGGAGTCGGCGCCCTCTGGTGGTGGAAGCAAGTCGCAGCGCACTCCTGCTGCTGCTTCATTGGTTTCCTATAAACTCAACACACTACTACTGCAATGCAGACCGGCTCGTCCATGTGCGCGACGTGTTTTTAAAACAGGTTCACATCTCTCACTGCTCTCGTTTCCAGAAGTTGTGGCGGGCCGTCGATGATGTCAGTGACGCCGCGCCAAGAGAGCGGGCCTTGAAGAGCGTCAGTTTCCAGGAATCGGTCAGCGTTATCACTGACGGGCCTGCGAGCATGGAAGTGGAGAGCCAGCAGATCCAACATGGCTGCCTCAGCGGCCCCAGCAACCGCGCTCACAATGCAGCGCCTCCTGACGGCGACGGGGTGCAGGTACGCATGAAGTATCTTAATATCCTTTATCGTTTTACAGCAGGAGGAGTTTGACTATCATCATAATGCATCACTTGTCTCTGTCCACAGGAGATCCGCTACTTGGACCAGGTCTTAGACGCCGCCTCAGAAACTCCCACCAACGGAATCTCTCCCCCCTCAGAACACTCCGGGCCGATCGCCGTCCACAGGGGCTCCCCCGCCGTCAGCGTGTCCGCCTCCTCTCCCGTCGATCCCCAGTCGATCGCCGTGGAGGGGCGGGGACAGACCACGTTCGTCCACCGGGACGACTCCGCCCCGAGGACCAACGGCCACGGTCAGGGGGAGGAGTCAGGGAGCGGCAGGGCCAAGTTTGAGCTCAGAGCGTTCCAGGAGGAGCGGCGGCCGGCGAAGCTCTTCGTCCCGGGAGAGGAGCAGGAGGTCAGGGTGACGCGGAGACGACCGTCGGGGGAGGTGAGCGGCTGAGCGGATTATGTGTATCTGTATGTGTTGTGGGGAAACAAAAGGGTTAGAAATAAGAGTCCTGAGGAAGTCTGGTGAATGCCAAGACATTACAGCATCTTATCTTAAGTGGTCTCACCAAATGAACAGTGTGAGCTAGTATACATTTGAGTATATTTTTTAATCCAAACACTACATTTAAAGCCAGGCACTGATTATTGCCCTTTGTCACCAAATCTAAACTGCGAAAAAAACAAGCTTCAAATGAAAGATTTATAGTATCAAGTATCTATTTAGTAAACAGAAACTGCCTAAAAGCTGAACCATAAGTTAGCTGTTAGCAGAAGATGTGTAACTGCCACTAGGCCTTAAACTCATTGCACTGTACTGACAGGCCTGACTCTTGAATATCCACACACGTCTGTGTCAGCATACACAATCAAATCAGAAGCTCTCGGCTAATGGTGAGTGATTGGACTACTCTTTTTGTCTTCCCCTCGCCTGCTTTCCCAGGTTCAGGAGCTGGAGCGTGAGCGTCAGGAGCTGATCAAGGACCAGGCAGTGAAGAAAAACCCTGGGATCGCTCATCGCTGGTGGAACCCCCCTCAAGAGGTAGCCCCCCCCCCCTCCGCTTTGAGCTCTGTTTAGTATCTGGCCTTCCTGACAAACCGACCGATTGTTTATCCGGTTGCTTTCTTTAATCCGTAAAAGGTTCCTTTGGAAGAACAGCTGGATTCAGATCAGCTGGAGTCTCTGAAGAAGTACCAGGAGAGGAAACAGCAGAGACAGAGTCACACCTATACATACACACAGGTAACACACACACACACACACACACACACACACACACGTGCACACATGACTAGTGACGTGGGAGAGCTTGATGATTTTTTAGATTGGAGGACTAACCTTGTTGTTCACTTTCTGGCTTTGCTTTCTTTACACAGCCCCAGGTTTCTGGCCCTCCCACGATGGTGACCTTTGACCCAGAGCTGATCAGGAAGGAGGAAATTCTGGAGGAGCAGATCAACTTCTCGTCTGCCAGAAAGCAGTTCCTGCAGGGGGAGGCGGCCAAGAGGGACGTAGCTCCTCACGCGTATTCCACCCAGCCCTTTTCAAAATCCGTAACCGGGGGCAGCCAGGGAGGCGGTGACGTCGTCCCAGAAACCGGCGAGGGCCACGTGACCTGGTCCGACGAAGGAGTGGCGGCGGAATTTACGTGTGCGCGAGCTGTGATGACCATCCTGCCCGACGAGGAAGACAGGAAGGGGCATTTCTACCAGCCGGAGGAGTCCGACTCGGGGTTGGACGAGCTGTCTGTCCGCTCTCAGGACACCACCTTGTTCAGCTCCGACAACATATCGGACAGCGGGGCCTCGCTGCCGCCCACCCCCTCGCCGCTCACCCCGATGTCCCCGCCCACCCCGCAGCCCTCCACTCCGGTCAACGGGCAGGCCGGTGGCAGTCCAATGGAAGACGAACTGGAGTACCACGCCGGGGTGCTCGTTCAGAGCGCCATCCAAAATGCCCTGGAGGCTCAGGACGGAGGGGAGTGGCGGGGGTCCAATTCCTCGCAACTGAGCGCCCCCGTGTCTCCGTCCACGACTTCAACCAGCAGCCCTGAGCCGGTTTCTTCCTCTCCCGCGTCTTCCGGCGGAGCCCCGAGTCTCCAGTCGCCCGTGTCCTCCAGTCCGGCCCGGGAGCCACACCTCCAGACACCCTCTCCGCCGTCCTCCCAGCCCGTCTCGCCGCCGCAAAGGCCCAGAGACGGAGGCCCCAGGATCAAAATCCAGTCCTCCTACGCCAGAGCGCTCGCCTCCTCGGCCCCGTCTCCGGCCCGGGCTCCCGCCTCTTCCTCGGCCGCCGCCGTCCCGAGGCCCGCCCCGGTCTACCGCCCCCCGTCTCCCCCGAGCCCGGAGAAGCCCGAGTTCAGCTACTTCAGCAAGTACTCGGAGGCCGCCGAGCTGCGCAGCACGGCGGCGCGGGGCCCCGAGGCGGAGGCGGCCAGCGGGCCGTTCCGCCTGCGCTCCAAGAAGCAGCGCACCCTGTCCATGATCGAGGAGGAGATCCGGGCGGCTCAGCAGAGGGAGGAGGAGCTGAAGAAACAGAGGGAGGAGAAGCCCGTCGTGGCCGTGCGCCCCAGCGACTCGTCGGGCAACAGCCTGGGCCCCGCCAGGACGGGGATGCGGAAGGCCAACGTTTCCCCGGCGGACAAGATGAAGAGCAACAGCCTGCCGGCTCGTCTCACCCTGACGGCGAGGACGGCACCAGGTGGGTCACGGCGGTTCGTCACCGATCCCTCCACGGACGGGGGTGGGAATGCTGCGGCGTCCCCCCCCCCCCCCCATCGGCCCGGTGCGACCGCGTTTTATTCAACAAAAAGCGTGTTTAACACGTGCGTGTTTTTCTTTCGCCTTCCGGTGTGCAGGAAAGATCGAAAAGGTTCGACCCGCGCCGCCCGTCTCCCCCTCGCCATCAGAGGGAGCCCTGTCCGACGCCGGCAGCGAGGACTCCGGGGGACGGCCCAAGAGCTACATGCAGACGCTCATGGAGGACTACGAGACACACAAAGTGAAGAGGAGGGAGAAGCTGGAGGACAACAGCGTGAGTATTTGAGCCTGGTAGACATTGTGCTTCCATCCCCGTTAGTCTCTGCGAGAGCAGAAACTATGACATCAGAGGGAACTTCCCGGCCTGAAACAGGAACTTAAATTGACTAAATACGCTGGCACCGTTACGTAACGTTACCCAACTAACACACAAAGGAAGTAAAACCAAGCATGGCATTGCACGCATAGTTGTACTGTACTTTCCGTCATATATCAAATTCATTTTGACCGCCAGCAGAGATGTTCTTGTCGTCGTAGCAGATCTTAGCTGTTATTGTTTATTCAGGATGACATCACGTGTTTCTGACTATTTGTACTGTTGCTTCTCTCCTGCCGGGTCGCTCAGTATGCCCGTTTGTTGCTGGTTAAAGAGGTCACAACGGAGGTACCGGTCTCGCCTAAAACCTGTTCACTCCATGGATGGCCTTTACTGACAGACCTGGGACAGACCGCATGTAGGACATAGCAGTGGGAATTTGCACTGTTACTGTCAGGGAGTATTTGGGTTTTATTAGTTTTGGACATACTGTACCGTGGGTCTGATGATTATAACAAAACAAAGGACATTTTGAATATAAATATATATATATATATCTTTTTCACATCTTACTGAAGGAACTGATTATTCACAGCAAAGATTATGAAGCCACATGTTTTTATTGCGGGTTATTAGTATTGTTATCATCCATTAAATGTACACAACGTAAAACGCAAATAGATTAGTGTGCAACAACAAACAGTTTTTTATCTGATCCCAGGTCTGCTTGTGGTCTCACTGCATTACTGTCGTGGTTTGTGGTGATGGTGCAGCATGTGTTTACCCCCCCCCTCCCATGCACATTTGTCAGACAAATTGTGATTGAAAAATCGACAGCAGGTCATTTACAACCACCTCTACTTCCTGCTCAAGTAAACGCTTAGTGATTTGAAATGGATGAAATATATTTTCCTCACCACAATCCCCCCCCTGGACTCCTGCTCACAGAGAAAGACCTTCTGCGTGTGAAGATGTGCTTTCGTCTTTGTAACTGCGTGTGTGGATTTGTATTTGGCATGACCGTGTGTTAGGGGGACGATGAAGGGGGGGGGCATAAAAAGGAGTCAAATAGTGCAATGGCGCTTCATCTTCATCACACCTCAAGGGCTCCTCTACTGCAGGGTGGTTAAAACAGGCGCTCCCTCTGTGTTTGAGTTTACGACGCATGCCATATTTAGTCCACTGCGCGGGTTTCCTGTTTGTGACGTGTGTGACGTTGTGTCCCTTGGGGCCACAAAAGCATGTGTTTTTTATTAATATTCATTCCTGAACATTTGGATAAATATTCCGCTGCTCTGACGGCCTGCTGTTCTGTAACTGACAGGTTCTGGAGGCCACTCGCGTCACCAGGAGGAAGAGCGACATGGCACGGAAGTGGGAGGCTGGTATCTACGCCAACGAGGATGGAGAGGAGGAGGAGGAAGAGGAGGAGGAGGAGGAGGAAGAGGAGGAGGAGTAAATGGCTCCTCTCAGTGGCAGCCAAGGGGCCAAGTGGAAAGGCAGAGGAGGGAGAAGACGAGGACAATGAGACTGGAGGAAAAAACGCAGCGAGGACAGTGAAAGGCAACAGTATTTATTTTTGCTAATAGTATTGAGATGGCCGGCTCCACCGACAGTCGAGTTGTGGTTTTTGGACCTGAGGAGTGAAGGCCATCAGTACGTTGGATGACGTGAGTTTGGAGATAGAGAGAGAGAGAGAGAGAGAGAGAGACCATTTAAAAGGGTTTTGTGGTGGTCGGATGTGTATTTGGTATTGAAGGTTTTCACTAGATGGTAGACGCTGAATGACTTAAATATTCATAGGATCCTTATTTGCCTCTCATTTTTTTATACTTAAATATGGCCTGAGATCTAAAGATTTTTTGTTTTGGTCGGTTGCCTGAGACTTGTTGAACCATGAGCATCTTCCACAATGCGTGGCGACACGCACGTTTGTGCGTTGTGACTTTTCTGCACGGGCTGATTTCTGTCATTACAGAATCGTTTTTTTCACCTGTGTTGGACGAAGCTTCCCGCTCAGAGGCCGCCAGGTTAGATCTCCTGCATCGGGCAGTTTTAACACTCATACGACGAGTTGCAGGGATCCGTCGCCTTTTAAGCGTCCATGTTGAATGTCATGTGCCGGTTTGCGGTTCCTGGAGCTGCTGAATGCTGGCGAGAAAAGCTTCGCCTGAGACCGTCACCGAGCGGCGGAGGCACCACACGTGACTTACGCCGCATTTCACCACTGGACGGGTGGTGGACAAACCTTCAGTGACGGACGGGGGTTGACGGGAACGCCTTTCCAGCTGAGGATGAAGTTTGACAACAAAGAATTTTTTATAAAATAAAATGTTACAGCTAAACCGAATGTGGTTACTTAGTGAACTGCCAGCTTATGCTTTTAAATCTATTTAACAAGGACCGGGACGTGAAAGGACACTCCTCCGATAACCTGAAACAAGCACACGACAAGCAGCAAGAGGAAGGTGATTGAAGGTCAAACGTGTGTTTATATTGTATGGGAATGACATCATGGTGGGAAAGGGGGGGGGATTTGTGTGCTAGAGTTGTACGTTTTTTTTTGTTTGTTTTTACCTAATATATAATGAGCTTCGATTTCTTGTTTTGCCGGATGAAGGAAGAACAACGCGGCCCTCTGTCAGCGTGGTGATGATGCCGCCGGGGGCCCCGAGGCAGCGCTCGGCTTCTCAATTAAAGCGCTAAAACACATTGAGACAGAAAAGTATTTGTGTGAAAACGCAGTAGAAACGTGTCAACGTGGTACCTTTGAACCACTTTAGCGGAAAACAATTGAACTTTCCAGCCTCCGTTAGCTCGATCATTAAAGCCTCGGAGGATCTGTATTACTTCAGCATGACAGGAGGATGGAGAGGGTCTCGGTTTGGGTCAGTGTCCCTGACCTGGAAACTGACCCTTTGCTTCATAAAATCCACATGTGATTAAAGCCGAGATGAAGATAAAGAGATGCGGGACACGTGCTAATAGCCCTTAGCAATAACGACTCTTATTATATTTATTGTGACTGTCCCATCCCGCGTGCAACTGATCTGACTCTATTTAATTATCTATTTGAATATGTTCTCTGAGGAAACGTCGCGCCTGCAACCACCAAACACAAACACACAAAAAGACACACGTTGTGTCCAGCGAATCCTCCTCGTTCTGTATTTTTTCGATACATATGATACCATTGTATATAAAATGAAGAGAAACAAGAAAAGTATTTAAAGAACCACTGTCCCATTTACTGAGATGGACATGTTACTGTGTTGCAGCTGATGCTGATATGAGATTAAACCACACGAGGTGAAGGTGTGTTGCCACATGGCAGATATTAGATATTAGAGGCACTCGGACTGACATCATCCAGAGCAAATGACAGAGGATATTTTTTTTCAGGGGCCTACTCTGAGCTCCGACTGTATCTACGCTTCACTTTCTTCTTCACTAATTGACTGTAGCTGCTGCGCCGCCGTGTAAGACGCCTCCGTCCTCACTTCACCTTCCAAGGACACCACCGAACCCCCGACTCACTTTGAGTTTGCTTTAGATACGCTCCAAGGCTCCAAGGCTTTTAAAAATGCTTATGACGTCACGCACACGCAGAGGACTTCCAATTGTGTGATTTATTATTATGATTATGCTTTTTGTTGTTTGAATGAGAAGATTTATTTATCATTTTAAATGCTGGTTGCTGGTTTTGGCCTGCAGGAGCATGTGAGCTTCAAGCTGTCTTTGTGTGTGTGTGTGTGTGTGTGTGTGTGTGTTGAAGCAATCCTATTATACATTATAACCTGTTTCTATGTTAACCACTTGTATGCTCATACTCTCCTTTGTTATTTTATAGCACACGTACGGCTCGCGGTTATTCACCTACGATACATATTATGGATATTTTCTCATTAAAATCAAAACCTGTACACGTGTGACTGCGTCATTCATGTTTTTTTAAAGCAATGGTTGTGGGTTTTTGCATGTGACCAGCATGATGTGACTGAATGTACACGGCCAGGTATTGACTCAAACTGTAATATCATTGTAAACCATTAAATCGATTTGTCCTTTTGGATTGTTGCCTGTTTAAAACAAGCCAGATGGGCTCCAGGAACACGTGATACCTCGTTGTTACCATGGTCACCACCTTTTAAACACCCTCCCAATTGATTAATAAAAACAGTAAGGTTAGGTCTGTGTTAGCTGATTCCCGCCGTGCCGTGACATCAGAAGAGCAGAAAACAAAGTTACAACTGTTAACAACTGTGATTTTACGCAATTGTCCAGTTTTTTAAAAAAACGCATGACTTTATTGAAATTAAAGGAGCGACCTCCTATGTTTGTATTCATTCTTAAATACACACGTGACTCCGAGGTGGAGCGCAGGCCGGTTTACCAAAAATTCCTCCCGTGTTAGTCAGCGCGTAAAGAGGAGGAAGTCCCGACGTGCGCGTTTCACTTTCTTCCCCCGCTGCTTCACTTCACGAACACTCCTCACTCCGACGGGGGACGCGTGGGAATGAGGAGGTCCTAGAAGAAGAAGAAGTCCCACCACCATGTTCCCGTCGTGCCTTTGCCACGCCGCCGTCGCGGTGCTGCGGCGCATCGAGCCCACCATCGTGCTGCAGCAGCTGGGCAGCGCGCTCTCCAACACCGCCCTCCAGATGTTGGCGAAGGACCGCTGCCTCAACGCCACCTACCCCGACCTCTCCCCGGAGGCCAGCCAGCAGAAAGCCATGACGGACTTCTTCATGACCTACAACCTCATCCTCCGGCTGGTCCCGATCGTGCCCGCGCTGCTCCTGGCGCGGGGGGGTGACCGCGGCTGGAGGAGGCTCCCCATCGTGGCGCCGCTGTGCGGGTACCTGCTGCTGAGTGTCATCCTGCTCCTGGTGGTCGTCTTCCGCCTCCCGTTGGAGGTGATGTACGGCGGGGCGGTGGTCTACGGTCTGTCGGGGGGCTTCGGCGCCTATTGGCCCGGCGTGATGACGCTGGCCGCGCTCTCCTCCACGGCGACGGACCGATCCAAGGTCAGTTCTACGGTTACCGGCGTTCATGTGGAAAGCTTAACAACAACACCCACAACACCCACATAGCAGTAGTTCAAACCAACTAGGGACAATCGATCTTATCATCAACACGTTTTTATTGTGCAGGTGATGATGAAAGTGGAGCTGCTGTACGGGACAGCCGGCGTGGTGGGGAGCCTCGCGTCGGGTCACATGTTCCTCGTGTACAGCTCCAGTTTGGGGAACGGGATCATCCTGCTGACAGTGAGCGTCCTGCTGCGGCTGCTGTGCCTCCTGCAGTCCGTCGTCCTGCTGCAGGTACGTGGATCGCCTCGTTTTTAGTCCGCCGCGCGCGTGCATGACTCTTTGTGAGACGCCTGGCCCCGCGCGCCCTGCCGCGGATGACGTCAGGAATGAGTGCCAACAGGTAAAACGGGCCGTGCAGGACGCCTGTTGTATCGGTGGGACTCTCCTGCTCTCACATGTGCTGTGTAGTGTGTACTGTGCTGAATGGAGGGCCGCTCAATGAAAGTATGCAGATACTTGGTCACATCATCAGAAACCACATTTTCAGCTCGTCTCTCCAAAAGGCGGCCCCCACGGGGTCACTTGCTGCACTCACTGCAGCAGCTGATGCAGATGTTGCACGTGTTTGTGTCCACCTTCATTTAAGGTGAACCCCCGACCGAGCGAAGAGCCAGAGGACACCAGCCGCCTCCTTCCTGACGCCTCCGGCGAGGCTCCTCCGGAGGCTCCTGCTGAGAGGAACAGGGTGAACGTAGTTCTGCTGGTGGCTACGGCCCTTCTGTACGGCGCCGCAGTGGGTGGAGCGATGGAAATACTGGACGTCTTCGTGCTAAAAGAGCCGCTCAGCTGGAGTGCCACTGAGGTGATTGTCTGAAGTACTGAGCTGTTGGTTTCCCAGGCTGTATCGATCGCATCAACGTATTACATGAACGCTGTGTTTTTATACACACTGCAGTGCACGCCGATTTGACCCTCCTCCCTTTTGCACTTTGGTGTCTGCTGCGCTTCACCTTGTTGTCTCTCTACCTCCAGGTGGGTTATGGGAACGCCGCCGGCTCTTTGATTTTCCTCACTAGCTTCGTCGGCGTCATGGTGTTTCGCCGCTGCGTCAGCGACGCGGCGCTCATCCTGATGGGCATGCTGTCCTTCGCGTCGGGGATTTACTTCATGTCCTTCGTCAGGACGACGTCCATGTTCTACCTCGGTGAGCATCTCGGACACGACGCGGGGATTGTGATGGGATCGCGAGCAACGGGCGTTCAAAGTCTGTCCTGAGAAACGCGACTCGGTTCGGTTCGGGTGATGTTTTCTTCCTGCGGCGTTTTGTCTTGTCCCAGGATGAAGGCCCGAACTTGAACTCATCAAATTAGAACTGAATGATGCCTCATCTCTTCCTCCAGCTTTGTCCCATTATATCATAATGCTGAACGCTGGTATAACGATGCTGCTTTTCATAAAAGAACTCATTAAACTGGGTTGCTCTGTGGCTCTAAGGTCAAAGAACCTGATGGGCTGAAATAGAATCACAAGTAATTATCCTTTTGAAAATGTATTTCTCTGCCAAATGAAGTAGTGAAAGAGACCCAGCAGACTTTCTCAGAGCTTGAGATGGTGTCTTCAGATTGATGGTTTTTCTTCACTAAGATTCAGTCCAAATCCAAAGTTAATAAAGTTAGTTATAGGCAGCTAAAATAAGTATATAATATAATAGAATCATAAGATTCTTAAGATTAATAAGAACTGACTAACTCAAAAGTAATGGTACAGTTCATCTCAAAAAGAAGCGAAATAGCTTCACTGTCCAACAATGATTACAAGTCTCTAGTGCAGTGAACAGTTGTAGTATGATTCAAAATCATAAAAAAAAGCCATACAAAATGTCATTCAAAAATGTCAACGTAACAACGACGAAAAAAAACTAAAATCCATGAAAAGTCATCGCTTATTTCTATCAAATTCGTAGTCTCGTTTGTCCCCATGAGTCAACGTGCAGTACGTTTAGCTTCATGAAAGCAGTTTGGCTTCAGAGCGCGCCGCGGTAAACAGACATGTGTACAGACGGGGAAGGGCGACTTCAAAAGGAAACAATGGAGTCAGTTGTCAGCGAAATAGTTAATCAGTCATCATTTCCCCGCAGCTCGCTCACTCAACTTGTTTGCTCTGATCCCGATGCCCACAATCCGATCGCTGCTCTCACAGCAGGTTCCGGCTTCCTCATGTGGTGAGTAAGAAACCTGTGGCTGTGTGTGTGTGTGTGTGTGTGTGCGTGTGTGTGGGTGTGTTTGTGTTTGTAAGAGCACAACAGATGAGTAACAACATCAGGAAAACAAGTAATTCACTGCAGTGTTTAATGATGCTCTCAACATAATAATGACTGTAATACTTACTTTAAAGACATCTGGAGGGGGATTGGGCACAGCACATAAGTTACCGCAAACTATTTCCAGATCATTAAAAACAGAAGCAAAATAATCTTTAATACCATTATTTCTTAGGGGAAAGTAGTAAATATAGATCTCAAAACCTGGGGAATTAAAAAGAACTTTCTCACAGTGTAAATTGCAACCGAGCCAAAGCAGTGACCCGCGTGGCCTTTTTGTTTGAACTACCGCTACATACTGTACACTGATGACAGTACAGGTACAGGAACACGTTGTGGAAAAGGGAAGACAACTTAGTTCCGGAAAGTTGAGTTTTCAACTCTTTAAACAAACCAGCCTACCGATCCTCTGATGTTGCTGCTGCCAATCTGTGACCAACGTGTCCCCTGGCAACCAGGACTCTGACCTGAGGGCCTCCATCGAGCTTTATCATAATGCATCCCCTAACACACAGCCCCTTTTAAGTGAGGACCAGGCAAAAGGTAATTCGGGTAATGATGTGCATTTTGTCCCCACAAGGAGGACAAGTCCCCGTAATGGCATTTATGTTCCTACCAGACAAGTACAACAGGCTCGCACGAGAACACCCATTCAAGGAAGCAAGGGAATGTAAATATACTGTTTAGGAGTTCCAGTTTAGCCATTTCCCCTTTTTTCTAGTCATCTTCATGTTCCTGTAATAAAGAAGAACGTTATCAGTCCTCTTAATCCACTCTTAACAAGCATAATAAGTTTACGAGCCAAAAACAGTTCTCTCTCAGAGGGAACTCTGCTTTGAGAAAAAAAGAGGCTTTGCTGAACCCTTTTTTAAACTCCTCTCTCCCTTCGCCCATCAGGCACCACTCTCACATATCTGCAGATGGCCCTGAAGCTCTCCGGTCTGGCCTACATCCCGGCCTTCACCAAGATCTACCAGAGAACCCTGGACTGGTTCCCCGGCTTCGTCTTCACGCTGGCCAGCAGCGTCACGGTGCTGGGAATGATCCCCATCAGGTAGGCGGCGCCGACGCTTCTCCTCCTCCGGTTGCTTCTTCTTTTGTACTTGGAAATAGTTTGTGGAAATACACAGCGTCTTCTATGTGAAGAAAACAGGCGTATTGCTACATTTGTGATGTGCACTTCCTCCCCTGCCGACAGTATTGTGAGCTGCAGATCTCGTCCGATGCGTCAGCCCACAAGGATTCAGGCGGACTGAGGGCACCGACCTCACCGCCCTCACCGCAGCCAGCGCTCGCCAGAGGGTGACGGGGCGAGGAACCGAGGAACAAAAAGTGGGCGAAAAGCAGAACAGCGCTTCAGTCTCACTTCCTCTTCTGACGGAACTTTGTACACCGCGAGAGTTTCAAATGGCCTCGGCTGTCACAGGATGAGCCGATCCTGTTTTGGTCCAGTTTGACGCAAACTCCTGACTGGAGAGTGAAATTTGTCCCGAATGAGGCGATTACCACATAATGAGGGACCAACGATGACAAAGTGACGCGAGTTTAGTCACAAACAGGCTGAATCACTGTCCCAAAGTGTAGCACATACATGAGGGTTTGACAAGGGTTGGGATTAAAATTTCAAGTCATTCACACTGATATGTACTTTGGATTTATACTTTTCTACTGTCTGTTGCATTTTTATTGTTGTGCATGTTCGGGGATGGAATATACACACACACACACACACACACACACACACATTTTGATTTGTTTGAATTTGAGCTTGTGTGGTTTTGTACTCCCTTTGCATAAAAAATAGCTGCAGATTATTTTCAAACAATACATTTTGAAATGTTTATTTATTAAATGAACTACATATTAATCAATATAAATCGTATATTATACACAAGTTGTGATAAATTATACATTTCAGACGATAAGGCAGCAAGTGTAAGTCACTGTGCTTTACGGTACTCTGGACCCAGTGGATCTGAAGGGAATGTAATGCAGCGGATATCATTATTTTAACATTATGGATGCTGACCTTCGGGTATGAATTTAGGTAATTATTACACCTACGGTACAGTTTATCCTGGTTTAAGGGCTTAAATCAGATATGAAATATTCAATGAACTGAAGCTGTGAGTTTTGTAAGTCTTTAATAAACATTTCTAAATGTCTGTTTTTGGAGATGTATTAACTGGATGTATTATGAAATCTCAAAGTTCAAATAGTGATAATATTCACCAGGCATTGCGTGTATTTTCATGAAATAATGACTTACAAATCTTTCAAATGGCTGAATACAAAGAAAAAGTTAAAGAATGACAATAAAAAAACAGACCTAAGCAAAGGCATTATTTTTTTATTATTGGTCCAATATAACCAAAAGAATCATTCGAGGTAAAGATAAATTGCTTCAAAACGACATCAATATACAAGCTTATTTGTGATCACAACAGGATGTTGTTAGCATCCAAACAATAGGGACTGAACGTAAACAAGTACACACTGGGGAGGAACAGAAATCAAACAAATGAAAATAAAGATACACATTTGCATAACCGGTCTGACGTCTAATCTTTGAGGGAATCCAATCATCTCATAATGTGTGAATCTATGACAGGAAGAAAAAAAGCAACCGGGGGGCATTTTGGCTTAGAAACATTTGATTTGAACCGAACAAGACGAAACAAATGCACGAGTCTGCCTGAATTGTCCCTGTTTGCAGAGCTGAATTCAGGTTAAATCCCCAGACGATGCCTTTCTGAACCAAGTCAAGTCACCAGACTATTCATTGTCATGTTTGGCAACAGAAAAAAAAGCTTATTTACGTTATTGTTGGAGTTGGCGCGCAACATAAATAGTGCAAAAGTAAATCAGCAGGCAAACGGTCTGAGAGGGGGATTATAAAATGTCTACGAGGGAGAAGAAGTAAACGTATGGGAGAAGTACTGGGGTTCCAATGACTCGTGCGAAAACAATAAATAACCGTTTAATTCCAAAATCCCTTTGACGTGATGTCGTAATCTTCAAACGCTTGATGGAAAACCAAAAATGATCACCTGCTTCTTTTATAGAAAAATAGACTCAGCTGTACCATATAATTCAGCTGTACATTTGGGTATATTGAATATACAGTATGTTGTCATTACAGAAAAAATACCTTTCCAACCCATTAGCATGCTCTGGTGAGGTCATCAGATGGCTTAACGCCTCTTTAGGAAACAAACCTGCTCATTTTAAACAGATCTCACCCAATAAACAAACAAAAAACCTGGATCGGGTTTGCTACATTTCAATATATTAAAATCTATTTAGATTACAGTGAGCATCACTTACAGGTTGAAATGTGGAAAATGAAACCTTTTTTTTGTCATATTTCTTATTGGGTTCTGGAGTGCAGTTTGCGAATATGAAAAGATATTTGGAAATGTTAAACTGATAAAACAATCTGTTGTTAAAGCTGCCCAGTGGATTATTTTATGTTGTAAACAAATGTTCACATTCAGTCTCGTCTTTGTGTGGTTCCTTGAGATACAAATCTGCTCCAGAGTGTTTCTAGTGGTCCGAGACCCTGCAGGCTGCCTTTCAGAGACGGATCACTCCTCCAAACAGCGACTGTCAGTCAGATCAAATCTATCGTGACATCCAACATAAAACGGATGCAGATGCACAAAACAAGAACACAGGCCGCTCTTAAAGCATTAGTTTGGGGATAGAAATTGAGGGTTTAGTAGAAACAGCATCTGCGTTGTGCTTCTAAAAAGGGAAAAATACAACCGACAAAAACGACAACGTGATGAATCCAGTTTACCAGCAGCCACTTCTCGGTTCCTCAACATGGGCCTATGTGATCAGGCCAAGGAGCATCCAGAGACAACCTGCCTGAAGGACATCTAGAAGAAACCACGGAGACAGACGGCCGTCAACTCAAATCAGCACCTTTTCGTCGGAGAGACGTGATGTCGTGGTAACGAATCAGCGCTAAAAGTGTCGGAAAAGCAAAGTCGTGGTCCTGCGATGAAATGAACTGAAGCTGTAAATGTGGTCGTCGGTAACGACGTCCCCGATCTCTCACCGGGAACAATCGAAAAGGGGGAAGAAAAAAAAAAAAAAGAAGAAGATGGCAGAAAGACCTTTGGTGGAGAGGCAACAATTTGAACCAAAACAGAGACGTTCTAAACTCTGAACTCTCTTAGTGTTTCTAGGTCAAATGAGGCAAAGCGTTTGGGGCTTTTAGGAATGTTCTCTCGATCCGTGTCACTGAGGCAGAGAAAGACATTTCATTCAAAGAGTTAGACAAAACATGTTGACGGATGATTTTCAGTCGTTTAAAGTAGATAAATGATACTTTCCACCCCCTCTGTGTTTATTTAAATCGGGTAAATCCGCCTGTTTAGCATCCTTGCCTAACTTTCAAGGTGAAACCCCTGCAGCAGGAATAAATGGCCGCGGCAGGAAAAAGCAAAGCAGACTTTTATCAGGAGTAGGAAACTGTTCAGCCGGCGGTTTCAAAAGCATGAGAGCTGTTTTCATCTAAACCACCAGGCGGCGCTGCTACAAAAGCACACAGTGAAAAGCTCAACATCAATTGTGACGTGGATCAAAAGTACATCCAAGTGTCCCTTTGCTTCCTTTGCTTTTACTTCGTGAACCTCCTCCTTTTTCTCGGCCCATTCGCTTCTTGCGGCTGAGCTGCGGTTTCAAAAGCTCCCATAACCGTTAGTTCCAAGTCCCTGCAGGAGGATTGTTCATGCCAACAATGTTGGCGGGCAGAACAGGAAAAAAAACAAAACATTTATGAACTCTTGGACAAAGGTCAACAGAGTTTATTGGCTGCAACCTGCGAGAACAACCGGTGGATCCTTTAAATGAAGTACGAGATGTTGGATTCTAATTCACAGCCAATACGGTGGCTCCAAGAGATGAGACAGTATTGTTTCAGTGTGACATTTTTTAGAAAAGAAAATGAAAAAGTGAAAAAAAAAATGAAAAAAGAACACTACTTCGTAATTCACATTTCGTGATCTCATCGGCTTCCTTCACGTTTGGCTCAATGTGAACACGGAGAGGACGGACGGAAAACCAGCCTCTCTGAGACCGAGCTTCAACACCGGCGGCATTTGGCACCCGAAATCATTAGGAAATATTGAGTAGAAAAGGTCCAGTTCAGAAAAGAAGGAAAAAAGGAAAATGTCGACGAAGTTCTGTCCCGTTTCCCCCCCAAGCGTCCTAGAATGTACCGTCGGTTACCTACTTTGTAGGGTCAAAGAGAGACGACTCCCCTCCGTACAATCCTCCCCCTGGAGAACGGGGGGGAGAGGGGGGGGGGGCAAAGTCCTGCAGCTCAAGCCCGCTGCCCGGCTACGCAGCGCTACACGCCGCTACGCAGCGATCAGATGTTTCAGTTCGTCTCGTGCGTTTTGTCCTCGGCCTGTTTGTCCTGGAGGACGGTTAAGAGCGACTCCCACGCTGCTTGGCACTGCACAGGGGGACGGGGGGGGGGGGGGGGGGGGGGGGGGGGGGGGGCAGGGGGGAGAAGTGAGACACTCAGAAAACGGTCCGTCTTCCTCTACCAAATAATTGTATCCAACCCCTGATAATGTTATCGGTTTCTTTCATATCAAAAAGTGTCTTGATCAATGACTGCGGCGCCGTCAAAGAGCCGCCCGCGTACCTTTTCGTAGTGGCGGATGTTCTTGTCGGCCATGCCGGTGAGAAGCAGTTTGAAGTCCTGTCTCTTGTTGCTCTGCCAGCGCTCCCAGTCCGCCTTCAGGTCGGCGTTGAAACACTCCACCTTGTCCTGGCATTTCTCCACCTCCGCCGGCATCTACGGAGAAACACAGACAACTACGGCTACAGGGGCGTTCAGGGAGCATCGTACGTCGTCTAAGGGGGGCGAGGGGGGTGGGGGGGTCTAGTAGGTGCTGGGGTTTTGGAGGAGAGGGCTGTGTTAGAGATGTGGGGAAATGTGGCGCATCTCTCTGGGCGGAGTCGTCGTCGTCATCACGATCATGACGCGCTCGGATGAGAGGAAGGAGGCGGCTTACTGGCGTTCGGTCCTCCTGCTTGCGTAATATGGCGGCTTCTAGTCGGCCCTCGTACTCCGCCTGGCTCTGGTCTCGCTTCCTCAAAACATTCTGCAATCAACCACAAAGTGTCCACTGTTTCATTTTGCATGCGCGAAAGGGGCATTTAAAGATGCTGTAATGTTCCGGAAAGAAGCGACGAGGGAAATGTTAAACGGAGAGGAGGTGTTGATTAAAGAGCTCGGGGGGGGAAGCGGCATGCGAGCGGACTCAGAGGTCACTTGCTCGACAGACGGTCCAACATGACCCCTCCCACCCCCGCTCACCTTCATGGACTCCACGTAGAGGACGTACTCTCGGAGGACGGGCAGGAAGTCCTGGCTCATGCCGTCGCCCAGGTCGTCCAGCGCTCCGCAGCACGTGGCCACGCAGCCGCCCACGCCCTCCAGGGGGCGCCGCAGCTCTTCCTCCGACGCCGCCCAGCTGGAGTACACGGTGCCGTACTCGCGGAGCTCCGTCAGGTACTCTGGCGGGGTTCAAGAGGAGAATGGAGGGGGGAGAAGGAGGAGGAGGAGGTGGTTAGACAGGCAAACGGGAAATGAAGAAAAAGATGCCGCCCGTTTCATACTTCTTAATGACGTGCGGATAATCTGTGTATCAGTTTGAAGGTTGAGCCCGGCTGGAAAACTAATAAAAGCAAAGACGTCTCTTTGCTGCCAGGCGACGTGGAGTGATTGGCACGCGCGATTGGAAAATCTGTATTCGCCGCAGTACACAGGGGATACATTTTATTTATTTTATTTTCTTTCCCCAGTTCCTAGAGTTTCCATTCGATCTCCTCCGATGTGGAAACACGGTTCTTTTGTCTGCGTGGCAGATTTTCTTGGTTGCGACGCGCCTGAACCACCGGCACACACGGCGACGCCGAGCAGATGTCAGGAACTCACAGGATCACATGTCATGCAGGAGGAGGGCCTGCACTTCATCACCCGCGACAACCACAATGCCAAAGGTCTGTACGGGGGGGAGAGGGGGTGGGGTGGGGGGTCTTTAAACAAACAACAGCACTGAATCAATACAACGAGCCAGTTTCAGCCACACGGACCAAAGGCCGTCGCATGAAATAAGCCGACCACCAGCTGACGGCCGGCACAATGGAAGTGGGAAGATACGACGTAGCTGCCAATCAACCACAAAGGAACAGTTCAGCCACATCGAGGCTCTCTGCCGTTCATTCGTCGAGTTTATTATTTATATTTTGGTTATTTATGAACATCGCTCTTTTGCTGCTCAATAACAATCAATAAATACCCATCTGCAGGCCTGCTGGGCCCTGCCTAACATTTAAAGGGTTTATTGGACCTTGCAAGGGACCAGAGCTGCATATAATAAAACCATCGACAGGTGACCGTATTATTATTATTACTGTCGCTCTAATACCCGACTGCTCTTTGAGGATCCTCTGAGCGATGCGGTCGATGGTTCCCAGTTTCTGGTTGAAGGTGTCCAGGTATTCTCCCATGGCGCAGAACTCGGCGGGCCGCGGCCGCAGCTTGTAGCCTCCGGCCACGTGCTTCACCGACTCGCCCACCTTGGTGAGCAGAGCCAGACCCTGACGCTTGTTCAGGTCCTGCACGCACGCACACGCACACGCACACACACACACACACACGCACACGCACACGCACACACACACACACACGGGGACAGATAACGGCCCACATGAAGTCCAATTTAAAACACAGATGTTACCAAAGTAACATTTTTTCTAACAAATTTTTTCCTATAGTTGATGTGCGGAAAATTGTAACATGCAAATTCTGAATTTACAAGACGCCCACAGCTGCTTTTATTGTTTGACTCCCCGTAGCATTTTGTTACCCATTTGATATGGATCTAGTATGCAGCAGCCTAACAAGGTGCTACGGTAAACATGTGACAGGAACAGCAATGACTGACTGCCCCGTGTGTTAATCATAGTGAGAAATAATTACTTTTATTTTCCCTAAAAAAAAAATTAAAAAAAAATCTAAAGGTGAATTTGCAGACTTTGTGTTTCCTCACCTTGGCTGTTAGGAAAGCGTTTAAATGCGGGTTGAAGGAGAGTACCGGGTGGTCGGCAACTCGCTTGAGGAACTTGTCCAGAGCCTTCATCCTCGTCTCCACGAACTCCTCTGAAAAACGGTCCACCACGCCCTTCATCACGAACTTCTCCGGCAACGGCTGGAGAGGAAGAGGAGAAGCAGAGAGTGGAAATTGAAGGGCTCCTCGACGGGAGAAACGGACACGGCGCATGCGGCTCGTTCCACCTTACGGGGATGAGGTGGGTGGGCTGGCTGTCCTCCAACTTCATCCGCAGCCAGTCGAAGTCCTGGTAGCGCCGCCGCACGCAGTACTCGGGCAGGTCGAACTCTACGCGTGACGTCTGGAGACAAGAGCTTAGGATAACTATGCACGCTGTGTGTACCTTGACATATAGCTGACACTGCACACACACACACACACACACAATAGACAGCCCCCCCCACCCCCTGCACGCGCTCAATTAACACTGTGTTCATAGTGGGCTGTGATATTTGTCCACGGCCTCCGAACCCGAAGCGCACATAGCAACTGTCGCCATGACGCAAGCCGGCGGCTCCTAGCAGCGTCTCCCTCTGCATCGGTTTCCTCCATTACTACGCGTGAAGGCCTCCGAGGCTGCGGTTACCCCGCCGAAGGTCAGAGCGGGTTTAGTCCCGGAGCGGCCTCTCCGCTTGCCAGCAGACAGGCGTGGAGGATGGAGCGGAGGATCCACCTGCTAAACACAAGTCCCTGAATGCATCCACCCTGTGGGATGGAGATGGGCTGAGGGACGGGAGTCTGTTCCGTGACGTACTGCGTCGAGACGTACAGGTCTTACCAACAGCATGAACATAAAAGGGGGCATGCGAGTGCAAATGAGGATAATAAAAGGAAGACTAGGTTTTCGCCGCGCTTGGTGGCCTACAAAAAAAAAGATATTCATTTCATTTCGTCTCACCTTGGTGGAGACTCTGTAGGTGATGTAGGTCTCCATGGTGGACACGTGTTTCTTTGGGTCGTCGACCGTGACGAAGAGGTCACGGGTCTCCGCCGTCTCCGTGTAGGGGTCCCGGACGTCGGCTTCCGGATCGTCGTCCAGCTGCAGCCTGTTGAACAGCGACGACGTGGAGGCGGGACTCGGCGTCTCCACCGGCGCGCCGTTGGTCAGGGACGCTTCCTGCGCAGGCGGGGGTGGGGACACAAACAGTGACATCAAATCGGGAGACACTGCGCTGGGAAACGCCGCGAACAAAAGACCTGATAGTTTGGTAATCCAGCTGTTCCTCTCCGTCAACGGGGCCCTTGTTGAGGCTGCTGATGCTGCTGCACCTCGTCTCACACGACGCCCGTCGCTCTCATTTTAATGAGGGACGAGACGGGAGAAATTTAGCCCTTGTGGAGTGGGGGATACTTTTTCCACAGGCCTAATACGAAGAATATTCAAACTGGGAAATAAATTGGCTTGCTATACTCTAGACTGAAAAAAAATAGAAGAAAAAATGTTGTTTCATTATAGATTTTTATAGGGACTTTTGGTATTTCTCCATTAAGAGATCTGGATCTACAAACACAGATCTGAGCACCACCGCTGTCAAACGGATGCGGAACTATAAATTATCATTACGCTCTCACACTTATTTCGGACAATTTCTATTTTCCGGAGGTTTGTATTGCAGCAACTGGAGCAAACAACCAATTTCACCCACAGGCTCCATCCAAACACAGCAAGTGTTCCAAAAAGCTATAAAAAGCAAATGACTGGACAAAAGTGCCGGTTGTGTTACTCCTATAATAAAAAAGAGACAACCTCTGGAGTTAAAAATCACTTCTCTACATTGGATTGAAATGCTATTGCTTCACATTTAGAAGAGAATATATTCATCGTTCTAAACACTGCAACAGGAAAGTAGGGAGAGTCAGCAGAGCTGTATTGTTTGAACTGGATTTGAAATCAAAACTAACCAAAGTCTCTCTTTGAAACAACCCTCACGGGCCCATTTCATTTGGTAATTTGGCAAACAGGAGGAAGGAACTTATTTACAGGTGTGGAAAGCACCTAATGTTCAACCTTTATCGCTTTCGCTGAGGCACAACGTTTGCCTGATTTGTTTAATTTTCAAATTCAAATCATTGAAAAAAAAAAAAAAAGTCTCTCTTTTACTTTCACACCGTGCAACTCTACACACAACACACACTTTATTCACACCCCATCTCTCTCTCTGCTACTGTATATAGACACAGTAACCCACCCACACACGAGCTGCTGACATTGTGCATGCACACTTTTTACACCCCACTGTCGATCACAGTTCACGCAGTTGCTTTAAGTTGCATCATTACACCACAGTGAACAACCAGGCCGCCGCAACACTGGAGGTGAGGAAGAGATCTGAAACTATTATATCGAGGTCGGCGGGCCACATCTTGTTTTCATGCGAGTCGGTAGATGTGCTTATGTAATTATAATAATATTAATGGTAATAAGTGACTGTTATTGTGACCAGGAAATGGGTGTGGCTGTGGTTCTGTCTGTTATTGGAATACTGTGATAAGAGCTTAGATGTTGCACTTCAGGGCCTAAAAGGTTTTTTAAAACATATTGGAGAAAAAGCACAGACAGCTCATCAGGTCCACATTACATTATAGGAGAACTACAGGCAGCATTCCCAGGGCCCCGAGACCGAAACAGACAATATGTATTTGACCATTTACAACGTGTGCTTTACCTGCTGGGATTTGCCAAAGTATCTCCAGAGAAAGGGACGTTAAAACGGGACGTGCCAAAATGCAGAGTCCACTAGTTGGTTAGTCATTAGTCAAAAAAAAGGGCGTTTAACTTCTTTCAAAGAATGCAATGTTAAGAAATCCTTTTGGAAAAAATCTGATCCACACTGAAAAGCAATTACTTGCTCCCAAAGCCATGACCTACATGTTCTTCCACTCTTATTGAAGCGTGTTGCCAGACGAGTATGTTGGTCAGGGGCATTAAACACCAACAGGGAGACATTTTCAATTAGTTTGGCCTCTGGTTGTCTTTGTTAGTTTGTATTTTTGTGGCAGAAATGGGCTTCCATAATGGATGAATGAAATTATATATATATATATATATAAAAAAGAATTGTAGAATGAATCACAGCATCATTACTAGCGATAATGAATGTGTGTCATTCCGTGACGGACCCGCGCAGAAAGCATCACGGATCATGTTTCCACGAGCACACAAAAACAAGTCGGGTCCCTTTCTTCTTAGTGGGATCAGATAAATCTGTGCGTCTAATGCAACACTTGTAAACATATAATCCAGTTTGTTTGTTTTTTGTAAAGGTGTTCACACAGCAGCCTCGCATTCCTTGTGTCTCTGTGCTCGTGTGTTTGCGTGTATGCATTTTGTTGTCGTGCGGTATCACAACGTAAGTCATGTGACGACAGCTACACAACGTTAGCCAGCAGATACGCTCCTTTCACCGGGGATCATTAATCATCGTTAGCCTGCAGGAAACTGGGGAAGCTGCGGCGGGTCACGTGCAGCAAACAGCAATAATAAACGTTTGCGCTCATCCAGTTTCCTCCGTTAAACTTCCGTCACTTTCTGCTACTTGCATTCAGCCACAAGTACCGGGGGTCGGACTGAAAACAAGAGTTTTTTTGTGCCACCGTCCTCCGGCCACTGGGTGACGTCTAACGGGTCTCGGATCAGCCCCGGCGGACCGTACCTTGTCCCCTCCGACGACGACGCTGACGGTGACGGAGAGCTGCTGCTGCTGCTGCTGCTGCTGCTGCTCGTCGCCGCCGCCGGAGAGCGGGTGGAGGATCTCCGCGATGGGCTTCTGCCCCGAGCTGGCCATGCACCTCTGAGCGGTAACACTCATCCTGCGGGGAGGCGGGAGGACGTGGCCGGGTTTCTGGGGACAAACGGCCGTCCGGTTCTCCGCTGCTGATACGCAAAAGTATAGAGACTAGAGAGGAAGGTTTTTTTTTTTCTTCTCTCCCTTCAGCGTCTCTTCAGTTGATCGGTTACACCCGCTGGTTGGTCACTACAGTCAGCTGACTCCCAACGCGCAGCTCCGGAAATTACACTACACGAACCCGGATGTAAACACATGCATCACGTGCCCACAGGAAACTAATGGAACCATAAAGATCGTCTATCGAGAAGATGAGTGGACCGTTGTTGAAACGCCAACGTGTAAATGTGTTTAACACAGAAAGCACCTTGTCAGAAGCAGATCGTGTGAACCAAATAAAATGCAAATAAATTGATGTAAGCAACTGTACTTCAAATTAAGATTTTGTTTTAGTTATTTATCAAACTATTGTTCCCAAAGGCAATATTTAACATCCATGCTCAAATGTACTGGTCATTTAGAGCAGTTAATTGTCAGGTTTAAAGCATTTGATGATGATCACAATGAAACCAAAATAAAATGTGATTACATTAGAACGGACAATTAATGCACGTTTTGTTCTGTATTTGAATTCAAATTTGCATGCAATGGACTTGGACTCCAAATAACACCGGCTTTCTACTATGTATTGATTAATATGAGTTTTTAGTGCATATAAGTTACTTTATCACGCTTGTCTACTAGTCTTCTGTGTCGTTTCTCCAGTTCTCAGGTCACTCTTTTGAATACCGGAAATAGATAAGAGTGGCACCTCTTCATCTTTTCCACTATCTAACCCATCTATCGGACAACCCGGTCCTTGGTTTCCAGAAGTAAAATGCGACTCATCGGCCGTACATAAGCAGGAGTTTTATTCTTATTTTAAACTTTCAGCTAACGTTACTGTTACAAAAGCAAGTACGGTGTAGTTTATCCGGCTCCAGTTTATGTGATATCCCCCCGGGGGACTTTTATCGTTGTGCATTGTACACCAGGGCAACATTAGCTGGGTGGAAGGAAACACAAATAAAACGTAGACCATCAGCTCTTAAAAGCCCTTCAGTTCTTCGTTACTTTGACCTGCCTCTCGCAACCTGTATGGAAATGGCTACTAATCCTCCAGGACCAGGTAATTCGTTAGTTTTGGGACAAACGTCATTGAGGGCTTTGTCTCTATCGCGCTGTAACTCTGGGGGCGTTGCTTCGAATTCTGCCCCCCGTAAACATGTTCTGCTCTCTGGTTCCCCCAGAGGAAGCTGATCAAGCTTTTATCGTCTTTCATTCTATGTACATTTAGTTTCACTCCAATATAAAAGCTGAAAGAAAATATACATATTTAATAAAAATATACATGATTGTTATTTGGGGTTGTTCAAAATATCTGTAGATTAATACAGTAACGTTAGCTAATGCATATCGTTCCATCCCTCTCTCTCTGTCTCTTCCTTTACTGTCTCTGTCTTTTCTGTTTTTCTAGCCGTCCCAAATAAGGCACGAGTGGCGATCCTGGCAGAGCTGGAGAAAGAGAGGAGACGGCTTTTGAGCACCCCCGGAGCGAGGTAGGGATAGTATGCAGATATTCATGATCACCAGCATCAGTCACAACCTCGGGAGGAACCTTTTTTATGGAGGCACTAAAGCATTGGGATAGTGTATGTACATCCATAGTTTGTATGTCAATATTACGGAAGTTGTCTGATTCTCCTCCATCTCCTCCTGTAGCATCTCGCTGTCCAGGCCGAGTCTGAAGGATTTCCGGGACAACGCAGAACAGCAGCACATCGCTGCCCAGCAGAAAGCTGCCCTGCAGGTGTGACAGTCAGACCCAAATCACATCACCTTTTTATTTCACAAAACGTTTACATACAGAAACATGCAGCAGAACAAATAAAAATAAAAAATCAGTACTTCAGTTACTCATTCTATGGCTTATGTTAGTCAGACATTTACTCAGTTACATTCAGTTGCGGAGGGATTATCGAGTTTAGTTTTTCATTCAGTGGCGATGGGTTAATTTTTCAGTTTGTAGGAGGCTTATTTGTCACATATCACAATCAACGAGGACTTCTGTATCGAGTCATTTTTGAAAAAACTAGGCTTGAATAGAGTCTGGGAATCCTTATTCGAGCGAGAGAAGCTCAAAGACTAGATGAACCATCTTAAAGAAGTATAAAGGGGTTTGGGAGACATTGCGTGGTTGTTGGTGCATCAAACATCAAACACTGCGATGAGCTTTGATAAAATTCTCGGAAATCATTTTTGCTAAACAGAGACTACATGGTGGTTAGCTTAGCTTAGCAAAAACACCGGAAAAAGGGGACATCACAACATCTATCCTAGCTCTGTCCAAAGGTAACATGATAAAGCTACTAGCGTGTTTATTGCTGAACCCTTGTTAATTGAATAGCATTATAAAATGGTGAATTTGGTCGGTTTTAACACAAACCTTTGCCCGACGGTCTTCTCTTGCAGCATGCACACACACACTCATCGGGCTTCTTCATCACCCAGGACTCCTCATTCGGGAACCTCATCCTCCCCGTCATTCCACGCCTGGAGCCTGAGTCTTGACCTTTTTACCTTCCGTCGTCCTCCTGCCGCCCGGTGTGACACAAAGCATTCAGACAACACACACACACACACACGCACGCACACCGGACCCACGCGTCCCCCGCTCTCCCCCGCTCGCCCCTCTTTTAAGTGTTTGATTATAAACGGACAGTGGTTTGTCCCATCGTAAACGATCTCAGGGGAGTGTCAATCTGTCATTTTTACATTTTCCAGACCAACAGGCTGACTGCTGAATTTAGGGAAGCTGTCAAAAGAAGTAGCAAGAAGGTTCTAGAAAGCTGTGTTACATCCTGTGAAATGGCGTGAGGGATAAAAACAAGATCACGGAAATACTTTTATTGCCATCCTGCATTTCTGCCTTTCACAGCGTTGATCCACAAGATACACTTTCGGTCAGGGTTTTACTTTTTCTTTTCTTTTTTTTTCAACATTTGGATAATAAAATTGCTACATTCATTAGATATTGAATTTCAGTTTCTTGTTTTTGCAAATATAAAAAGATGGTGTTAGAAGCGAAGGACAGCTGTGTTCACACAGGAGTTAGGAGTAGTGTTTATTCCTTTTTGAAACAAAAGAATATTTGCCTTCTTCATAACCCAATTCAAACTATTTGACCTAAAAACAATCCAGGCAACACGCTTCAAACAAAAAAAACATTGTCGCTGAACATTGACTGAAGCTTTGAAAGTGGTCAGTGGGCCACTGCAGATTCTCATACCATGTCAGTGTCACGAGCCACCACAGCAAAGCTGCTGTTTTCCCCCATGTGAGTCTATACGTGTGTCGTCATGGCTAAACTACTACAGGAGTGCTTTTGAGTACCGTCTGTTCACAGATTAATTTCAGCTCGATGGCGCTGGAACCGTGCAAGATGCAGTCGTGACTCTTTAAAGGCGTGTAGTTGAAATCAAGGTGAAAGGCCGAGTTTGACAATGGGTTGGGGTCCATCCTCGAGAAGGCCAAAGGTAAGGGGTTAGCAAGGAGCCATTAACACCCCGGCCTTCGCCTGCGGCTCGTTCACTTCGACACTATGGGCAGCAGTTCGCCTTTGGCCTTCATCGTTTTGATCTTGGTCTTGATGCTGTCGTCCATGGCCTGCCGGCAGCGGTGGGCATAGTGGGCCAGCGTCTCCTCCTTCTCGTCCCACGGTGCCATGGCGTGAAACACCACGGGGGCGGCCAGACTGAGCTCGGCTATGGCGGCCGTGCGGGAGATTGTGTTGCGGTCCACGCCCACCCGGTCGAAGGCCACCTTCATGGAAACGCTGCGGCGGAACTCCTGCAGGGCCGCCATGTAGCGCGCTATGACGCCCGCCACGTTTTTCACTGGAGAGGGACAGCGAGAGAGACGCGTCAGCACGCGTGAAAAGGAAAACGAATGCCGTGCTTGGTGTTAACATCTCGTACTACTCTACGTCTCTACGCGTCCTTACTCCTCACGCGGGGGTTCTCTCCGTCCCGGCTCCTCTTGCTCTTCAGGGTCCGGTGGCCGTGGTCCAGAGGGTGAAGCTCCATCTCCTCAAAGGAGTCGAACAGCGTCGGGGAATCGACCCCTGGCGCGTCGTCAGAAGACGGCACGTGTGAACTTCCCGGTTCCATCGGGTCGGAGCAGCAAGGCCACCTCTTTTCTAGTAGCAGAAATAGGACAACTGAATTCAGCTAATATGAAAATAAACATCTGAAATGTTCAGGTGTTGATTTCATCGACGGGTGGCTTTTCAGACCAGACCCCACCTGGCCGCAGTTTGTCCTGCAGAAAGTCACAGATGAGCTCAGCTTTCTTGGTGAGTTCATTCTGCAGGAGCTCTTTGTCCTGCTTCAGGCCGGAGATGATGTCCGACATCTGCTGGTTGCGGCTGCGTTCTGCACACAGTAACGCGTGCAGCTTCTCCAGCTCGTCCTGCTCCCCTGCGGCTGCGCACACAGAAGCAACAAAGAAACCCCAGCAGTCAGAAAGAGGAAGTCAGACGGTTGGATACGAGCACACAAACATTTGGTACGGAAGTCTTGTATATTGTTTTATATAATAAACAATACTATAACATGTAACATACACATAATAATACTGATGTATGCTTGTGTCAACTTATTTTCCATTAAATCAGGGGCAGGAAGTTAATTTATGCATTATTGGGCAGAAATGCCATTGAAACCTTTCAACATATTGTAAGGTTGCTGATATTTATTATATTATTATTATTTATTTTCCTAGTTGTTACCAGTGTGGGAATAGTTATTTCCTGCAGGCTATTCCCCCGATGAATCACGCTCCCAAAAGGGACGGGTCCTCACGTCTGTATTTGCACACCATCCAATAGGAACAACCTCCCTCTCAGGACCGGGGATTGTGGAAGCAACTCCCGTCACACAATAGATTTTCTCAGCCAGGAGAACATGCAGGAGTCTATTTTTATCCTTGGACCGCTTGAATTACAATATGCTGAGAGTCAATCAGGAAATGTACAGTGCAATGCTGCCAAAAAAAAACTGCCAAATGCCACATTGTAACATTTGGGGACCTATTGAGGATGTGCTGAAATGTGGGTTTTTATGAGGCCTCGCGACAAAGCCGTACCCGCGGTCGTCTCCGTGGTCCCCGTGGAGGAGCAGCTCCTCTCGGCTCGCTCTGCGGTCCCTGCTCCGCAGCCGCCTCCTCCCAGCAGCTCCATCTCTGGGCCCTCTGACCTCTCCCACCTCAGGTACTGCCCATGCGGTGGGTGAGGGCCGGGTGAAAGGGGCTTTTTGGGAAACAGTGTGCACGTGATCTGAGAGTGTGCGTTTGGGGCCTGACGAGCCTGTGACACGTGGACGGCGTCCGTGCCGGCAGCGTCGTGGTCCTCTGCACAGGTCGCTTCTTTCTTGACCTTCTTCCTGATAATTGCTCCTCCTTGTGCCCCGCCTCTTTTCCTGGATGGGCGGAGCTGGTAGTCACCGTCGCCGTCCGTGGCCGAGGATTCACACCCGGTGATGTCAAAGCCCCGGCTGCTGCTTTCCTCCCCGTCTGATGCTGCCTCGCTATAGTAGAGGTCACCTGACGCTCCCGCTGTCACCTTTAAGGTATCAATGAGATAATAGAATAGTAATGACAGGTAAAGGATGAACTTCCGTGTGGCGTTAACAGCATTTAACTAACGTGACCTGCTCATTGTAAAAGTGGGATGTAATTGGTGATGTCATCGTGGTCATCTTTTGGACAGAAGGCCGACATTAGAAAAGGGGGCGGGGCAGATGATGACATTAATCAGGCCTGGGACGTTTAACAAAATATATATGAAAATATAATATGTGAAAAAGTAGACCTGGAACCTTCGCTCACCTTACTGGACCGGCGCCCTCCAACAAACCTTTCCTGGCCTTGGCTGGTATTTGATGCGCCTCTCCAGCCGTTGTTGTGGTCACTGAGGGGCCAGTGGTAAGAATGGCCGGCCGCACAACCCCACAGGGCCACGGGTACGCCGCTACCATGGAGACCGGGTTCAGGTGCCAGCACATTACCATGGGAACCACAGGTGAGGTGCTGCAGGCTGGGGATGAGGTCGCAGATGGTTCCGTGGCTGTGAGCCCAGCGGACCAGTTTGCAAAGACTGCCGGAGGTGGTCTGAACTGGGTCGGACATGATATCCACCTGGAGAAGAGAGAGAGAGAGAGAGGGGCGTCTCTTCAGGTGGGAGTGTACAAAAGTTACTTATCAACGTTTACTATTTTGGTGCCAAAGAACGCTTAGTTGTATAATTGATAAAAGATTTGTGACTCAACTGAATCACTTGTACCATTATACCAGAAACACCTTCAACTATGTTCATTAGGAGATTGATAGAAAGACGTTGAGTTAATTATCATGTCATAATAAAGAAAAAGCATGATATTTGGGAGTCAGGAAGCAGGAAATACGTGACATTTTGCTAAGCAACTAAACTGATTATTCAACAATAAAAATGTATTTTTGATCTTTGAGTTAATTGTCAAAATTGACTATTTGACAATTAATTTGTTTTAACTATAACAAATGAGCAATATTAAAACGTATTGACAAAGACAGTTGCTGCCAAATGGTTACAAAACATAACAGCTGATAAGTGACTTGAACAAACAACTTTTAGATTTAGATAAAACTACAATAAAACCAACAATTGGAGGACAAACAGACACCTTGTTGCTCATCCGACTCCCTTTATGTCCATCACGTCTGTCTGCAGGCAAATCACAAATCATCACGCACAAGAACAAAGCGATAAATCATCCATCCATCCATCTTCAAACCGCTTATCCTGCACACAGGGTGCGATAAATCATTGACAATTATATTTACCTTTTCTTAAAAATACCATCATTTAAAACATTGCTGTCCTCGTTTATTCCACACGTGTCGGTGGCGACAACGAAGCGACTCTGAGTTATGTTATTATGCAAATGATGTGTGCAGAATTATCATGAATATCACATCAGATGTAACGTTGCAACGTTTGTTTAATTATGGCATTCTTTGTCTGAAAGCAAAGAGTGTGTTGCCGGAACGCAGAGGGGAAGTTTCTGTTGTGCCCCCTGGTGGTCTGGAGGAGAAACGGCTCAGTGCTGGAATACAGCGACCTCTAGTGGCCCCTGAGGCTCAACGTGTAAAACTTTTTTACTATTATATATTATATTAGCTTTATTTTGAAATGTGCACTTTTCATAACATGTGAACATATACTTGAGTAAAAGTGCAAAGAAATCAAATAAATTACCCTCATTTAGGCCTAGTATTTACTGTGTTTCTTAATTCCCTCCCATACAATATATGCAAAAATGTGTTTTGCATATATTATATATTTATTCGAGAGTTTTTCTTCACTGTGATTGAACGAGTGTTCAAAAATAATTTCGTGAGGAGAGATAGAGCTTAAGCTACCGGGTTAAATAGAAGTGTGTTTTTCTTTATTTAAGTTGCATTACAACACACGACTTAACACGCGCACAATTATATAATTAACAAAGGTTTGGTTCATTTTGAGGCGCGCGCATACAGAGGTTACATCTGTTTAAAGAGCTTATGGGTTTCCATGTGTGCAGCCAGTGACTTGACTGAACTCGCTGCGGGCTCCACCCTCCGTTACGTGTGCGGACGGCCGCCTTCAGCCGACGGGCATCTCGACCACAAGAGGGGCGAGAAAAGAGGAGTTTACCCCGGCTGCTGTCTGCGGGAATAAAGCCCGGCCGGAGCAACTTCGACAACTTTAAACGTGTCAACGGAAGCGTCCTTTTCACACGAGGACACTGTTTTACTGTTTTTTTTCCGACTTGGATTAAGTTCTGCATGGAAACAAATGCTATTTGAGGGAGAGAGAGAGGTGGGTGTCGGGTACGTGTGTTTCTCTGCTTCTTCTTTTATGCACGCTTCTTAAATACGAGCATGTTTGCGTTGACAAAAGTGGCAACAGCAGCAATAAAATAGTCCCAATTGTTGCTGCCGCTGCGTCATCAAAATCTCCAAACATCTGGGAGTATTAAAGACTTAATCCCGGGTTGAGGAGGGGGGCAAAAAGAAAAAAACATTGAAACAAGCGAAAAACGGCACGCAAATAACAACTGTTGCACAATTATGGCGTTAAAGGCCAAAGTGCTGTACGACTTCAGCCCTGAAAACCCGGGTGAGATCTCCGTAAGGGAGAACGAGCTGGTGACTCTGTTCAGCGAGGAGGAGCTGGATGGCTGGCTGGAGGGGGAGAACAGCAGGGGGGAGGCTGGCCTCTTCCCGGCATCCTATGTGGAGATCCTCAGGAAACCCATCTCCCCCGCCGCCGCCGCCAACAACAACAACGGCCTGTCCTCGCCTCCCAAAATCAAAGCCGTGACGCACGGCCACCCCACCTACGCGTCCCCCCCGGGCGCCCAGTCCCCGAGGGGAGTCGGGGCCGGCAGCGGCGGGAGCGGTGGAGGGAGCTTCCACACCAGCCAGGGCAGCGACGACGACTGGGACGACGACTGGGACGAAGGCTCTTCGGCGGCCGCCGCGTCCCAGGGTTACGGCAGGTCGCCCCCCTTGTACCCGGTGACCACCTCCTTGCCCGCGGGGCGGCGAGAGAGCGGCCAGCAGCATCATCAAGCCAAGGGCTCGGCGACCGTGGGGAGGAACCTCAACAGGTTCTCCACCTTCGTGAAGTCGGGCGGGGAGGCCTTCCTGCTGGGGGAGGCGTCCGCTTTCGTGAAGGACGGGGACAGGATCTGCGTGGTGATGGGGAAGCAGGGGCCGGAGTGGCAGGAGGACCCCTTCCCTTTCACCTGCACCATTGACGACCCCACCAAGCAGACCAAGTTCAAGGGCATGAAGAGCTACATGTCGTACGGCTTGACCCCGACGCACACCAACGTGCAGGTGAACCGCAGGTACGTGGCTGGCTTCCTGCCCCCCCCCCTCCCCCCTCCGCCTCCTCCACTTCCCTCCCACGCCGTTTTTCAAGCTTCTTTCTTCACCGGATATCCGCGGGCCTTATACCCTTACGAATGAAGGTTTCTGTGGCTTTTTCCTGTGGCCACAACTGTTGCGGCCTTTTGGCCTTTTGGCCTCTGGAGTCCTCCGGAATCTCCTCTTCCTTCTTGCGACTCCCTCTGCACCTTTCGCATTGTTTCCCTGTCAGTAGGTTCCGTCGCCACCAGCCAACATGAACTCCCTTACGTTTCAGTTGCCACAATGTCTTGACTCCTGCTGGTGAGTCCCAACTGTTGCCTCGCAGCCTTCTTTTGTTTTCACTCCTTCTACTAGTCCGTTGCCGCCGTCGACAAACCGACCTTCTCCCTCCCTTCTCATCCACTCAAAATGTCCCCGCGCGCATAAACCTGTCTCGTATTCCGTCGTCCCCCCCGCAGGTACAAGCACTTTGACTGGCTGTACGCGCGGCTGGTGGAGCGTTTCCCCGTCATCTCAGTCCCCCACCTGCCGGAGAAGCAGGCCACGGGCCGCTTCGAGGAGGACTTCATCTCCAAGCGGAGGAAGGGGCTGATCTGGTGGATGAACCACATGACCAGCCACCCGGTGCTGGCGCGCTGTGACGTCTTCCAGCATTTCCTGACGTGCGGGGCGGACGAGAAGGCCTGGAAACAGGGCAAGAGGAAGGCCGAGCGGGATGAGCTGGTGGGGTCCAATTTCTTCCTGACGATCAGGTAGGAGGCCGGGTCGTGAACTGCTCGTGGTTTCCGTTACAAGCTCATGAGAAGCACTGAGGGCTCGACCGGAAAAAACCTGCGATTTGCTTGAGATTAAAATACACTGATGATGTCACGCATATGCAGTCCGAGCACAAGGGCTTCATTCTAGGCTCGCCATTTTCCAACAGCATTCCACAATCATTGTTGGGGGTGTAGGGAACCCAGGAGCTACCCCGATAAGGGCAGGAAATAGATCACAATGTCACACTGATCCAGTTTTCAGTAAGGCCCACAGACGTGACCTTTTTTACGTGATAAACCACTGTGAATGGATCAAGTTACAGCACAGACCCCCCGATCGAAGGAATTCTGGGAAATAGAGGCCCTCATTATCTGACGTACATGGTTTGATGGGTTTGGAGAAAGATGGTACACCATAAACATAAATTAAGATAAAACAAGGTAAGTTTACAGGATTAGAGCAGCAAAGTAGGTAAAGTGCACACAGACATGTTGCCAAAAACAACAACATGAAAACAAATGAGCAGTGATAAAATAAAAACAAGATTAGATTAAATTACAGCTCTTCGCACTGTGTTATTATTATTATTATCTATATGTTATTATAGATTATAACTCCGTATTTTAGTCCATAGTCTGTCAAGACATATGAATACTTTTTCGGTGTACACTATAATATTGTGGCAGATGTTATTTTGTCCGCCCACTCTCAACGATATGAAGTGGAGGATATTTGCCCTTGAGCAAGACGCCGTTATCAGTTCTCCTTCTTCGCCTGATAGCGAGGACGAGATAAAGTGGAACACAGAAACAACACACATACGACAGCTAAACACGATGATGCTATGATGAGAATGGGGATGTTCAGAATGAAGCCACCACTCCTAAAATGGCCGCCACATGCCACGCTTGTCCTGCAGCACTCCCGCCGTCCCGCTGGACCTCCAGGAAGTCGAGAGCAAGATCGAAGGCTTCAAGACCTTCACCAAGAGGATGGACGAGAACATCGTGGTCGTGAACGCCACCATTAACGAGTTTGCCCGCAAGCAGATGACGGGGTTCAAGAAGGAGTACCAGAAGGTGGGACAGTCCTTCGGCCTCCTCGGGCAGGCGTTCGAGCTGGACCAGCAGGCCTACTCGGCGGGGCTGAACCGAGCCATCGCCTACACCGGCGAGGCCTACGAGGCGGTGGGAGAGTACTTCGCCGAGCAGCCGCGCCACGACCTGGCGCCCATTTCTGACCTGCTGGACCTCTACAAAGGACACCTGGCTAATTTCCCCGACATCGTCCACGTGCAGAAGGGTGAGTGTGTGTGTGTGTGTGTGTGTGTGTCGTTGTGAGGCCATTTCAAACCACTTAGTGTCAGTTGGAGGTGTTGGAAACAAGTCTTATCCTTTTTCCTCGCTTAACGTCGGGGCTCTTTAGCACACGGCCTTTTTGATGTGAGATGTGAAGGCCAAACATGTCATACCGCCCTCGAGGGGGAACAGAAAGGAAATTGCAGAATGAAGTATGTGAAAGGGGTTACTAACAGGAAATGCATTAAAACCTTGTTGCAAGAAATTAAACAGGCATGGCCTTTTTACAGGGAGGTCAGGGGTCAAGGCTTAGCTTCGAATGGAGCTGGTGCGGACGGAGTGGTCGGGACTGTCGCTCGTGAATGCCGCTGCAGGGCGGAGAGTCTCAATCCGGGGAGGATTCAGATCGTTGCAACTCGAGGCCCCTCGCGCTCAGCTTTCATGCAACAGGCTGCACAATCTCTTATCAAACAACACCCCCCCCCCCCTCAGAGATTTATTTACTTTTACTTAGATTGCAGAAGAATGTATTATGTCTCCAGACTGCAGCCTGCCCATGTATCAATCTTGTGAATATGATAAGGCAGATAACGAACAGAGACCCAAAATCTGTTTTCCTTCACTGAATCGTCTATGTGGGTCAACAACTGAAAGGCACAACCAGTTCAATGTAACACTCTGGTGCTGTGAGAGCATGTACTCGCTCACAGGAAATCACAGGAAAACACACACCCACACACACAGACGTGTACGAAGGACAGAGTGAGGGCAGAGAGTTGGCTTGTCGGTTCCCTGCAGGTTGCAGGAGGAGGGACTTGGCACACAAAGGCCTGACGTTTGCCAAACCTAGAGGCAGCCTATAGTCTGCTGAGCTCTGTTAACTAGACACAATCACTGCTCCAACTATGGGAACGCCGCCCGAATCCCACAACAGTCCCGTCGACCGGCAGGAGTTCACCCACTTTCTGATTGACCAGTAACACATTATTTCACGTCCCACAAAGACTTTGAACACTTTTCGCTGTGGATGCACTGCAAGGCAACCTTCCCATCAGAATATTTTTAGTAATAAGCTTACGTGTTCAGCCTTAGGGTGGAAGAAATATTTCCGAGCTAGTGCTGCCAGCTGCTAAGAGTGTGCAGAACTGGGTTGCGTCACTTTTTAGTAGTCATGCTTTAACCAGCATTAAGAAAACTGAACTCAAGGGGAAGTCGTGGAAATGATTACGGGTATGATATCATCATTCTTGCCTTCTGAGAAACTCATGAAAAAACACTCTTTCACTTTTGGAAACTTTAAGTAGCGTTGCTTTCAGTATAACAAGTTAATAATAAGAGGAACAGAAGTTTTTGCTCTTTCCCCTTTGAATTACTTGTAAATTCAAGTTCCCAAGCTGACTCAGAGCTTGTGTTTCTATCCCCCATGAACTTTGATTAATTCACCGCTGGTGCAACAGGAAACCTTTTTGTCGACCCAGCGACACTGTCTGTACGTCTGCACGTCTGCCATAGTTGTGAAATAACTACCGTTGGTAACAGTTTCCATAACACTCAATTTAGGGAAATAATCCTCATGGAGAGAAACATGTTTGCAGAGATGCATGCATACATCTTTTTCTTTTTCAAACCCCCCCAAAACCCCCCCTCTACTGCGGCCTCCGCAATTTACATAACCGTTTATTTTCTACCTCCACGGTTCAACGCTCCACTAATGCCCATCATGTCATACAGCGCTGAACATTTCTGCATCACCAACCACAGAGTAACATCACGACAGCATCGCAGCACAAAAGCAGCTGCTGGGCTCCCGAGGAGCAGCGCTTTGTGGACCCAAATGAGCCCGGGCGGCGTCGTCCGTCCTCGCCGGTTCTGTCTGTGAGGTCCACAGCGCGCACATCTGATTCGAATGAGCGGAGGGATTCTTGGGTCTCTTGTGCCGCGTTGCCCCGGGACGGCAGGAATGCAGAACGCGGCCGGTCTCAGGATTAGTTTCCCCTCCTCCTCTTTTCTTCTCCCTCTTTTCTTAATTCCTCCCAGTGACACAGCGAGTTAACAAGAAAGAGGAAGAAGAAGAAGAAGAAGAGGAAGAAGAGGAAGAAGAGGGGAGGGGAGTGTGTGAAAGGGGCAGATAGTTGAAGAGATGAACTAGTTTCCCTCCAGCCAACAGCACAAGATTTCCGATTAAAGCAGCGTAACGGTCGTGAGGAGAGCAAAGTCCGAGTTCATTTCAGTTTGTTAGCGCACCCGAGTCGGCGTGTGTGTGTACTAGAGAGCGCGTCGATGCTGCCATGTTAGAGCCTTACTCTGGGGCACCTTTTTTAACCTGGATCCAACTGTGCCAATTCCCCTCTGAAGCTTTAGTGACACTGAACCATCGTGAGTCACGGATGACTCCACGGATCCTGGAAACAGTGGTTAATAATGGTTTGTTTCCTTCTTGTAGTTGATCCTGACAAGCTGTCATCCCAACAGCTTCTGTAACTCAATGTAACAGAGGGTTAAAAATGTGAAATGTGTTGCCGCCACAGAAGATATGCCAAATTCAATCGGGTCACTTGTCATTAGAATGTAATCCCTTTATGACCCCAATGAAGACGAACAATGGCGATCAGACTTGTGGTACTAAAACGATTACACGGATTGGTCAATGGGGAAAATGCAAATGGCGTTTGGTGCTTTCTGCTATGAGTGTCGTCCACCACTGCTAAAAAGCGCTCTGCCTGATCGGGTTCATCAAAGAAGTAAACTTCCTGTGATATCGTTGCAAGATCATTTTTCAAAGACTTTGTTTTTTTCGGAGCACGGCTTCATATTCAGGTCTGTTGTTTGACTTGTCACCTTTTCACCGATCTCCACCGCGTTTCTTTTTCTTCTCCCCAGGCGCCCTGACAAAGGTCAGAGACTGTCCGAAGCAGGAGGGCGAGCTCCACGACCGCTGCAACATCATTTCCTGCGCCACGCTCGCGGAGATCCAGCACTTCCACCGCACGCGCGTACGGGACTTCCGCTCCCAGATGCAGCACCACCTGCGTCAGCAGATCGTCTTCTTCCAGAAGATCACTGCCAAACTGGAGGACGCGCTCCAGAAATATGACGATGACCAGTAGGAAGAGATGACGGAGAAGTGGGCGGAGCTTGAAGAGAAGTTCAGACCGAGATAATTGAGATGTTTCGTCTCACATTAACGGAGAACCTCTTTTGGTTTCTTGCCACAAGCATTTTAAGAATTAAAACCACTCTTTTTGAAAATAAATGTAGACCACTGTACTGTGGGAAGACAACTTCTTGGATTATCTTGGTGCCCTTGATGAATGTACCAGTAAGTGGGATTTTGCTGACGCTCCAGGCACATCTCCAGCGACGGATATTAAAAGCAGCTGCCTCTCAATTCCCGGTTCCAGGGTCACGTGATCTTTCCGACGACGCTATTCTGCCTTCCTACTTTATGGAAACCGTCTGTTTTCGAACCCGGTGACACAACAGAAACAACGGCACGAAACTCCCTGAATAGATTAAACGGGATGTTTTAACGATTGAAAAACAGGACCTTTCTGTTTTCTCTATATGGGTCTGTTTTTACTTGAATGACCTGTTCAGTATTGTTTTGTTGGGCCATAACATAATGTTAGTGTTTGTTTGTGAATATGAAAAGGGGTCACACGTGCCTGCTTCTGATGTCTAACATCTGACACGACTCAGATGCCGTCACATCTTTGCTATATTATGATATGAATATCTTTGTTATTTTAGTTTATGTCTTAAAACCATAACTGATCTTCGACTGATTTTAAAACAATTTCGGCACACTATCTTCCTGTTCTATTTATTTGGGTTAGTTATTAGAACCTCAACTCCATATTGTTGTTTTTTGCTTTCACCCGAAGAGGGAAGCTCAGAGGTCAGACTCAGGGTACTGAAACTTCAACTTGATGGATGCTTCTTGCCGTGAAATCTTTGAATCCAGATCTTCCTGTTTAAAGCCACCGCGCGGAGGTTCTTCTGTGATTCTAGTCTTTACTTTCAAAAAGAGTTTTAAGACAATCCTGTTTTTGTTCCCATTCCGTCTTTGTGGTACTACAACTTCAGGGACCTAACTTTAATGGTTGCTCTTTCAAACGTGCTAACCTGTAAAACACAGCACACTGTTTGTTGTAGGTCCTGGATCAATCAAAGTATGTTATTTTGAGGAAAAGTTTAGTGGTGAAGACAATCAATATACTCATTATAAAGTTTATGCTTAGAATATTTCTTGTAAAACTTTACATTCCTCTCCTGGGTTTTTACTTGGTTTAGAGTAGGATTGTTAGAAGTGTTCTTCACAAGCACGTTATTTTCTACAATGAAGTCAATACCTGAAACTGTTAATGTAACACATGGGAACAGTATTTGAGTATAAAATGTTAAATATATATTTATAGTTCCACTTGACCGGTTCTGTGTCTTTTAATTAGTGTTTTGAATGTAACACTAACTCCTTTTTATTCTAAACAAGACACCTGCTCCATCATTTTATTTCACATGAGGTTAGTTTGTTTAGTATAAAAATAATCTCCATTAGTTTGCTTTTCCCCAAAGAGAAGCTTGTTATCACTGTTTTGCCTCCGGAGGCAGAAGCAGTGCAGCCGCTGATATATGACACCGGAGTTCACAGCCTGCAGGTCAGGTTACTGCCGTTGCAGCTTTTCATTATTTAGACCTGCCTCTTGGTCCCTGTTTTCATTTTCTCATTTACTAGTTTCACTAATCATTTCAAAGTCCTGGTTATTCTGAGCTTCAGTTTCAGTTCATAAATATTCCAAACACAAAACAAAGCTCCCCTGCTCTCTAAATGAAGATCCACTTCCACTAAGCTTTAAAAGTATCTTGATATTTAGAAACTCAAATTGTGTGGTGGTGCTAGTGCTGATTTAAAATAACTAAGAATGTATATGAAGTACATCTATATTAATGCCTTGGAATGATTCATTATTGAATGGGTTTTCTGGCTGAGGCCTATTTCTAAGAATCACATAAAACCTAAAAGTGAGTTTTTGATTCATGTCAACATGTGTATCTCCATAGCACGCAGAGATGGACAGCCTGCTGCTACTTGCTATAAGTCATTACACAGGACTAAGTATTCAAAGACAAGCATTGTTCTCCATTTCCTGTACACATTTAAGATTGACACACAGTCGCTTTTATTAAAAATGCATTCTTCACAGTGCATGGCAAACAGGCTGGCATAAAAGGGTTCATGAGTGACAAATATATTATTTGAAAAATAAGGAAGCTACCAGTCTCTACACCTCACCGTGTATTGGTTTATCAGAAAATATGAAAAACATCTCACCTCCTTCAGCTGCAACAACATCAGATGATGGAAACACAAAAGGTGTGTGGAAAAAATAGACTTGAAAGGTCACAGCACTTTTAGTCACAGGTACAAGCAGACCGTACGATCTACCAGTTGACAGGTTTTGAACACATCAACTTCGCACAGTTATTTGTACGCCACTAACTAGTTTGAGCTAAAATTCAGCTACACCAAACAGAAAACAGTTTCTTTTACAGAAAATGCTATAAACCCCAATTTATGTTTCACTTCCTTGTTCATCCACTCTTCATAATGCCTCATTTGTCACAGCTATAGACTTTAAAGCCTTTATTTTGAGGAAAAAGAACCAATGGTGGCCATAATAGCGTCACACTAGCTCCTATGTGGAAACGGGATGTTTTACAGGGGAAATAACAAAGAGTTTTGTCAAATTACTTGAACATGGTGGCTATTATACATTATCCTCAGTAATATCTTTTCACGCACATTCTTGTGCTCCTTTGTGTGAATGTGCCTTAGACGACTACGGCTGTCCCTTGGATAGTACAGATGTTACTACTAATAAACTATAATACACCTCCAAGGCACAGTTTTTCGTTGGATTTCTTTCATCAAACCCAGTACTGGTTGTCTTTAAGAGTCGGAGTAGGGGACCTAGATCTCAGAGACGTTTGGAATCCCGCAGTTGCCATATCCTTTTCAATACTGCCACCGCCTATAACATTCCCACCAGCACCTTCTCCATCGGCTTCAAATGTCCCCCAGAAGGTCATCCCGGGCGCCAGACTCCTCCTCCTGGGACTGAAATGTCGCCTGGGGGAGTTGGGGCAGCTGGCGGGGCCCAGCGGGGTGACCACCACGCAGGGCATGGCCGGGCTCCGCTCCGCCCGGCCGAGGTACGGGCTTCCCTCGGCGGGCGACGCCGCTGCAGCGAGCTGCTGGAGGAGCCGCAGCTGGGCCCGTTTCTCCTTGCGGCGGCGGAACACCAGAATCAAAACCACGAGGATGGTGATGAGGAGCAAGCAGGCCAGCAGCGGCAGGATAATGAGGAGCGGGTCGGAGGACGGGCGGGGGAGGATCTCCACGCGGACCGGGTGCAGGACGGGAGGGAAGGCTGGAACGTGTTTGTTCGAGACCGAAGGCGTGTGGGGCAGCGCGCCGTGACCCTGACCCACTCCCTCTGCATGACTCCCCGATCTTCCCCCATGACTGCCGCCGCGCGTGTGATTCCTCCCGCGGCTGTGAGGCCTCAACTTGTGCTGTGTCCTGTTGTGGTTCTTATGTGACAAAATGTGTGGGGGCAAACCCAGCGCGTCCGCGCTGAGCGTCATGGAACCCCCCGGTCCACCTCCTCCCATGGTGGTCTTATGATGCGTCGGAAGACGGGTGGTCGTTTGAGCATGACTCCCGCCGTCTGCGTTGGAGCCGCTCGGACCGTGACGCATCTGGTGGTGGGGTAGGATGGTGAAGTGCAGCTCGCCCTTCGCCGGTTGGACGTTTCCAGCCTTCAGCAGGAAGATGAACGAGTCGTTGAGGGGCGTGGCAGGGGCGTGGCCTCTGGCTGTCGTGAGCGCCGATTTGTTGCCGCGCTGCCGGCTGTCGCTGTCACTGAGAGTCTCCTCGATGGCGACCCGGCCCTGCACCACATCTCTGAACGTAAATGACTTCAGCACCTCGGACGCTCGGTTAGGGTCGTAGGTCATCTGGATACACAGACAGTGGAAGAGAGAATGAACTGAAATGAACTGATTATTCTGGAAGGTTTTTTTTTTCCTCCATGTTATCATTTAATGCATTCACGCTCAGTGCGGTTTGTTCCTTTAAACAATGAACGGCTTTACCTTGACTAGTTTTCCATGTTTTGGTGGCGACAGAACCAGAAAAACCGGGTCGGCTCGGCTGATCCTCGCCAGCTCGGAGGCATCCATCATGGCCTTCCCCAACTTCACAGCAATCCCACTGGGCACTCTCACGGGCTCCCTCAGGTATATCAGAGGCCGCACAGTCACATTCACCACCTGCGCTGTCAGATTTACATAATCGACACCGGGCGACGCGGCCGACACTGTGACCTGGAAACTGTCCTCGGATTCGCTGAGATCGGTCATGTGATAGACGACGCGCCCCGACTGCACGTCCTGGTGGCGGAAGGCCGTGACTTCCTGGTCGTTAATAGCGATGCGTCCGTGGCGAGGGTGTGTGGTGACCGTGTAGGTGATGTTGACCGGCCTGCGACCGTTGGTTTGTGCCGCAAACTGGTTGGTTGTCAGGACCACAGCGGTCCTGCCTTGGACCAATGACAGGCCAGTGTTGTTCACCATGGAGACAGAGGGCTTTATCACCTCCAAACTAAAGCGCTTGTAGAGTGGACGATGGTGACCGTCGGTTACGTTGAAGTAGAAAACACCCGTTGAGGGCTCTCCCTGAGAGAGGGGGGACAGACAGAAGGAAAGGATTCAAAGGACACACCAAAGAACGGTACCGGCACTCACGTGAGTCTCCCTCAGCGGACTCACCTGCTGTATGAAGTGCAGCCGGCCGTGGTTGACGTCGTACTGGGTGAAGGAGGTCACCGGCTCCAGTCTCTCCCCCAGCGTCAGGTAGCCGTTGCTGGGTTTACTGATCACGAGGTAGTGCAGCTCCTCTGGAGGGGTGTCATGGTCCTCAACCTGGAAATGCAGATTAACAGGGTTATATTCAACAAGACTCGTCGAAAGAACAAGCCCAAGTAAACTTTCACTACTTTCAAATATTGTTGCTACGTTAGATCTCAAAAGGTTTGCATAGAAAACAGATCGTTTGTCCCAAAAATGATCATTTCCTCTGGAAATCAGCATCTCTGCTAGTTCTCTGTGTGGATGTTTGATTTCACAATTGCCAATAAGATTTAAAAAAAGGCTTTTAAAATTGAAAACAAATTGTAAGATATTGGCCTTTTGCTTTTTGTAACTTTGTTTCATATACTCAAATATAAGGCTACGCTCTCTTAACACTGGCTCACCTGCAGGTGGTCCCGTCCAAGTACCACTCTCTCCCCGATAACAACCTTCATACTCGGCGCTCTGTCCCGGATGAGCGGCGGCTGGTCGTTGACCGGTGTCACCGTGATGTTGAACGTCTCCGTCACCGCCAGGCTGTCCCTGGCCCGGCGAGGAGAAACCACATCCAACGACGAGAGGGAGGAGGATGAGGCCGAGTAGAGAGGGGAAAAGGAAGAGGGGGAGGAAGAAGACGAAGATGAGGAAAATCCAGACGAGGAGGAAGAGAAGAGATTCAAAGGAGCCACCCAGGCCCGGAAGGAGAAGCTGTCGCTCGTCGTCTCTGAGTCATCGTGGGCGTATGTGATGCCGAACTTGTTTAGGGTGACTTGAGAGAAATCAGATTGGTTCCTGGGGAAAAGAAAAATATGAAAAAAAGCTGTACTCAGTCATCACTTTACATTTTAAAGGTCGCCTATTGCTTGTTGGCAAATGGTTTTGTCAGCAAGGAATTTTAAACACATGAAATTACAACATACCTTTATTTCTTTACGTATTTGTGCCTTGTGTTTGGTACGACTTGTTTTAATATTATTCATCTATTGAGGCAAGAGGAGCAGAGCAAAGCACCTGGTGAGGTTATGTCCTTGTATAGACAGAGAGCCGTGGCGCGGTGGGGAAATCAGGCGGTACATGATGTGGTGGTCTTTCCGGTGCGGCTCGGGGACTTTCCCAAGGAGATTGGAGGCATCGAGTTTAGACTTGTCAATAGTCACCCTGCCTCCCTCGGCAACCACAGCACCTTGAATCACACATACGGACACCTCGGTTGGTCCACTTGAAATCATGACCTCCAGGGTCCAAATAGATATCAAAGTAGAAAGGGAGACTTTTGCACTCGGTACCTGCGTTGCTCAGCAGCCTGGTTTTGTGTTGAGGGCTGTTGTGATGTGCGTTGGCCTGATAGGAGATTAAGATGTTGAAGGTGTGTGGAGCCAGGAAAGCCGGAGGAGAGGACACGGTGAAAGAGAAGGTGTCTGTGGCCGACCATCCCACTGACTGTGGCTTATTCTGATGGTACAAAATAACCCCATCTTTCACCTGAGAGACAAAGACATGACCAAACACAAAGGGATTCGTTTTATTTGGGCCGTAAGACAAGAGCTTTGCTTTTGTTTTTCAAGACACAAACGCGCCTACCATGCCTTGTGTGAACGTGGAGACGTTTCTCGTAGAGTTGTCGGGCATACGGCGGACCAGGCTGCCAAGTTTCGGAGGATCAGTTACCACAAACACCACTGAGTTGTTTCTTCTACTGTCGCTGACATCGTTGGTTACGGCCTGAAGCTCCTGCTCAGAGATTGGTGTCACAGAGCCTTTAATGGTTGGAACAAATGAGTTATTAGTTAAGAGTTATTGAATGCACATTTATTGTTTTTTTATTTGATTTTCATGTCTTAGTCCCCCCTATGCTGCTGTAATCCTGTAAATCTACTCACTGTGGGACTAATAAAGGATGGTATTATCTTATTTCTATTTAATAAAGATTTTTAGACTTATATGTAAAGTCTATTTGTCAAAGTCAGATTCACTGTGGTTGAGAAGGGAAAAGCCTTTTTTTGGTTTTGTGAAAACATACCCGGGTAGACCTCCATGGGATGATTTGTCTGCAGGGTGAGGACCACAGAGTGGGCAGTCGTGCTGAAAATCTGTCGAGGGGCAAAGTTCACGCCGTCGTTCACCTGGAAGTGAAAGCCACCCGATAAAGCACCTACAAACAGTCAACATCAAGAAAATAGAGGGGTTGTTATTTTTATTTTTTTATTCCATCCCATCCACAAATGTGGTCCCAAGACGTTACTCACCACTGTGCACAAACATCAACTGTCCGGTTCGTATGTGATTTTGGGTGAAATTGAGGATTTGTCTGGAGGGGGCCCCCTTAAGCGCCAGGTGGCCGTTGCTCGGTGGCGTGACGATGAACTCCAGAGCCTGAGGTTCAGGAGTGTCTGAGTCCTCTGCACTAAGATCATCGGTGGTGATTTCTGTCACTGAACCCACCCACACCTAAGGGAAAATAGAGGAAAAGATGGATGAATAAAGTTGATGCAGTCTGACTCATTTTAGCTGAAAACAATCACAGTGTCTCATGGGTGTGTATGTTGTCACTCTTCACCTTCAGACCCTTGTTGGTTGTAACAACGGGAGTTTCATCATCAACGGGTGTGACCTTGATGTGACCCGTGCACGGCAGGCTGTTCTTCTTGATTTCCGTCTGATTGGCCACAATGGTAAAGTTGTCTCTTAGCGTGTCGCTGCCATCATGGATGTACGAGATGTACTCACGTTCCAACTGGGAAATACAAGCGATGTTTGTAACTGCCTATGTGGCTAATGTCAGATGGACAGGAGCAGAGCAACAGCACAGATGTGTGTGCTGTGTATCTTTCAAGATTATGCAAAGTTTGGTGTGTGTGTGTGTGTGTCTGCTGAGTCAAACCTCAGTGTGAGTGAAAGCGGTGATGGGCATCCCCGGGATCCGGCTGTGCTCCAAGTGTCCGTGTCGTGGTGGAGTGATGACCTGGTACAGGAAGTTCATCCCTGAAAAGTGATGACTGGCCACCTTGATGATGTCAGGGGTCAATGGCATCGACGACCCCTCGTCAAGGGTCAAGTCAGACACCTGCAGAACAGACAATAGAACTGACTGACTGGTTAGAGGGAATCTTCCTCTGCGTGACAATCGACTTCTCTCCATTTTCATGCAATGGTTTCCTTTTTAAGATCATCTGACGTCTAGACGGACGCGTTGTACCTGAAGAGGGAGCAGGGTGGGGATGATATCAATCTCTAGCCTGAAAGGTCCGACTCTTGTGACGCCGTTCGTTGCCTCCAACAGGAGAGAGTCGTTGGTGCGACCTGCAGCCTGCTGGTGGTAGATGATCAATCCCTGGTTGAGATCCTCCTGGGTGAAGGACTTTGTTGGCTGCTCTTCGATGCCCTGCATGGAGGCGCGGAGCAGAACAACCTATTGAGTGTAGCTTCTGTGCAAAATCAGTGTGACCTTTAAAGCAGCGGTGTGCAACTGTTTGCAGGCCTTACACCTACAGTAGGAGGATTCTGATCGAGGTGCAGCTGCTCTCCGTTGTTGGTCTGGTGCTTCTCGTTGGGCGGAAACCGCTGTAGAAAGCCCAGGGCTGGAGGACTTTGGATGTTGAAAACTATCTCTGAGGGCCTGCTGTCCTCATGAACCACCTGTTCAAACGCAACAGACCACATGTATTTCTAAGTAATGGAATGAACATCTGATACCAAGAGTTATAGTTGCTTTGAAGGGTGATTTTGTAAAATGAATGAATAAGAAAACACAATAAACCTTGATCTCGCAAAGTTCGCGATACAAGTAATATATCTTGTAATATATGAAACAAATCGGGCTGGAAAGTGACCACCTGGTAACTGAGTAGTAGATGATTTGCTTGTGGTTACCAGCTTACCTCCAAGTGCTCCTTGCTTATAGAGACGTACTGCCCCTCGGACACAACCACTGGGCGGTTACTCGTGACCGTTGGCGGCCTCTGGTGGCTCTCCAGGACGATTTTTACCATCACTCCAATGTCCAGATGTATGTCCCTCCTCTTCCGATCTAGATGCACCGGCGTGTTCTTCTCGTTCGCCCTGGCCGTCACATTGAACCCATCTGACAGCTCGTGGCTGCCGTCGTGGCGATACGCCAGGCGCCCCAGCACCAAATCTCGCTGGGTAAATATTGAAATTGCATCTGATGCTGTCACGCCATCTCCGTCATGAAAGCAGAGCACGCCGTGTTTAGGTGGAAGGAAGACCTCAAATGTCACTTCCTGTGGGTCTCGGATGTCCAGGTTGCTGAAGATGCTGAGGTTGGCAGCGGTCAAGGCTTTGAAGCCACCTCGCTGGAGCACGAGGCCTGTGTTGTTCTCCACTTGGAGGTAAGGATCCTGGGCCATCACCTGCATCGGCCCGTCACCCAACAGAAAGAGATATAAATGATTAACAGCAGCTAACATCTTTAACCATCTAACACAATTATATTTAATTACCAGCAAATCATTTGTAAAAATAAAACACAATTCAAATCACTAATAAATGACACAAACATATTAATGTAAAACAACGTGACCAATGGTTTGTTTTATGCTGCTTGACTTACTCTCATCATTTCAATGGCACCGTAAAATATGCATGAATTAAACGTTTATTACATTCAGTGGGAAGATAACATAATCACCTCCAGCAGTGTTGAGACATAATGTTTTCCATCTGATACGAACAGCACAAAACGCCCAAAACTCACTCCTCTGTGGACAAACAACACTTTTTTCTGCCAGGGGAGAAAAGAAAATGAGATGATAAGAAAACTGCATCGGGAGGTTTTATTAAAAAAACAAACAAACTAGAAGTAAAAATTAAGTACAAAGGCATCAGGGTCTCAGACCCCCTCCCTCCACACCTCTCCAACACTGGAAAAAAAGTGAGCTGCGTTAAATCCTTATTTTCCCTCAGGACGGAAAAGTTTCTTAGACCCAAAAAAGTGTGGAGATACATCTGCCATTGCAAGACTACACCTCCTCCAAACCATCTCACTGACTAAGATGTTTCATCAGTGACTTTAAACCTATTTTGTGGTCAGTCGGACTTTGAAGGTGACATGAAGGTCGGAACACAGAAACATCTGAAGGCCAACCCTTGACTACGTGGTTCTAAATGTTCTACCAGCTGAACGAGCAAGAGACTTCACGGATGATTGCACTTACCTGCTGGAGATCCCGTTGTGTGAACTCGTACAGCTTGTGACTGGTATCACTGGCCAGCACCAGCTCTCCCAACGGAATCCCTCGCCGCGTGTACACCAACCAACTGTCCTCAAAGTCCGAGTCGTCGTCGCGGTAACGGAGGTCGCTCAACGTCACCAACCTCTGCCCGTCGCGGGCCACGTGGAAAACTTTGTCGACAACCCTGACGGGTCGCTCGTCGTTGACCAGCTGCACGGAGATATTGAAGGTGTGCTCGGCCGTCCGCCGATCCTCCTGCTTTCTCGCGCGTTTGTTCGGTTTGTGAACCACGATTTGAAAAGTGAAGGAATCCTGCGTGGTCTCGCTGTCATCGTGGACGTACATGACCCTCTCCTCAATGATGTCCTGGTTTGTAAACGCCACAACGTTATCGTTAACGGAAGTGGAGTTGGAAAGGTTGATCCTCCTCAGGTGGCCGTGCCGGGGGCTCCCCGTGACGCTGTAGTGGACATCGCGGTTACTCGCCGTGCGAGTGAACAGGACGTCTTTGTTGATGACTCTACTTCCTCCCTCCGGGGTCGACAGGCCTTTGTTTACAACGGTGATGGCGATCGACTCGGCTCTGATGTTGATCCGGAAGTCGAAAGCCGTTGAGGTGGCGTGCGTGGAGAAAACCTGGAAGCTGAACGTGTCTCTCGTGTCCTCCTGAGGCACGTTGAGCAGCTCGTACTTCATCAAGCCATCCGTGACGTTCTGTTGGCTGAAGCCCGAGTTCCTTCGCAGAGCTTTGTCGTCGAGGAATAGCTGCCCTTTCTTTGGTACCGTGACAAGCCGGAAGTGGAGGTCGCTCTCGTTGACTTTGACGCCCTTAGAGATCACATGGAAGTCCTTGGGTGTGAGCGCAGTAGACTGAACGCCGTTGACCTCCATCTTGCTGCGTGTGACCTTGTAGTGGATCCAGCGTACTGTTATGGGGAAAACAACCTCCTCAGAAGCCCGAGATCCGATGCTGATTGTACATTTGAAGTAATCAGTGGTGTTACTCTGCGTCTGAACGCTGTGGTAGGTGCTGAGATATCGGATCCGTTCTTTTTCCAGAAGCTTCTGAGAAAAGGAAGTTGTCGGTTTCCAGTCGCCGCTTGAGTGCAACCGCTGGAGCTCGCCATATCGTGGCGACTCCACAACGGCGTAGCGGACTTCCACCGCCTGATCATTCACATTAATTTGCACCGCGAGGTGAGTGGTGGTGATGATGAAAGCCTCGCCTTGGTTCACCTCCAGTCCGGTGTTATTCACCAGGGTGTGTTCGAGTGGCACCGCCATGATCCTCAAAACTACCGTGTTGCTCAACTGCGCAAAGGAGAAGGAACAAGGAAACACCAGATGTTGTGATGAAATAGGGGATGAGATGAAGGAAGAGGAAACAAGGGAGGAAAGGAATTAACAGGAGACGAGGAAAATAAACTGATTGACCTCATGATGGCAAAATGTATACTGTATAGTGAGAAATGAATCAATTAAGTGAATACAATTCATCCTGAGAGGTGGGTGAATGTTCCAAAATTCGAGGTAATCCATTTAACAGGCGTCACGACATTTAACTTTATTTGTTTCTACAGTAGCCGAGAAGGTTCAAAACAAACGCTGGCTCTAGTTAAGGCCATCAGCATTTTTGCCATTTAAAAAAAATGCCCCAAATGCATTTATCACATCCTTTACGTTACAGCTGATGGGTTTATTGTCTCTTGGGCAAGACATTTCTTACCTTAAGCCCGTCGCTGACCCTGAGTGCCAGCCGGGAGGTGGGGACGCCGGTGTGGACAAAGCAGATCTTACCCTCCTCCAGATCATTCAGCGAGAACAAGTCAATTGCCCTGGAAGATAGGTAGCAATCCTGTTAACTTCCCTAGCCTGTCTCCTAACTCTAAAAACATTTCAGTAGCATGACCTTTGGGTGCCACGAGGTTAAAACACCTGCCTTATACTGAATGTTTATCAAAATCTAGCAACTATCAATGTGCAGGAGTCAATTAGTTCTAAATATCCACCATCAGATTTAACCATCAATTACAGAGAGCCAAGCTCCACGCCTGGCTTTTATTCACTAGTAGCCTTTTTATTTTAGCATTGAATTCATTGTTCCATCCGACCCCGATTGGTTGGTATTATGAAGAGTTTTAAAGCTGCGGTACAAACCTGCCGGGGTGGTCCTGGTGCTCAAGGTGTCCAACCTCAGCGTTGAGGTTCCCTAGAGAGCTGAAGACCAGCTCTGCAGGACTGCTGTCAGGGTCCCACACCCTCAGCAAATCTGCTGTCAGCTGGGGGACACAGTGGTTGTATTAATCATCATTGTGTCCCTTATCCAGCGAACGTCCATGCAAAGACTGACATCTAATAAATGCGACGATGACAAAATCTACATTCATCAACTGCTACTGAAAATCAAATCAAAACATCATCAACGTCTCAACACGCACCTTCATTGATATGTCATGCGAAGCTAATGACTGCTTAGTAATGTGACGAGTTCCTGGACCTGTTGACCTCCGTCTGTTGTACGACTGCTGGTGATTTAATCATCCGTGAGTAAAGTAAACCTTCCGACAGGCTGCGAGGACATCCAGCTCACCCAAGAAGCAGGAACCCAAAGAAATGCTTTCCTTCAACTGGTGTCAAAAACACCGCAAATGGGATTGATAACTTCCCGCGCGCCAAATCTGCCCGTCACGGCTCTGCCGGTTCCTCCTCTCCTGTGGCCCCGTGTTCTGTCCCGTGCCGTAATGTTACACATAGCTAAGCATTTATTCCAGCAACTATCTAGAAAAATACACTCCGGAAGGTAGACATTTGAAAACTGGCAAATGCGGCGTAATGAGCACTGCTGCTACAAATGATCAGGACGGGACGAGGAGGAGCAGTTCAAGCGTGACCTCAACTGAGATATTAGAGAAGGTCAAACCAGCTGTCATAGAGTCATAGATGGAGGAATGTGATTCAAACTCCGATAAGATGCCCACAGAGGAACACGCCTTACAGCTTTGTCCTCCATCTGCCCATCAGAACAGGTGAAAAGAAAAGACAATTTGTAGACGTAGTAAACGAGTTTCATGTTCTTAGGCAAAATACATTTCAGCCAGATAATAAAATAGTCTTTGATAGGAACATTTTATACCTAAAAGCTCTAAATTAAATATGTATCAAAACTTCTTGGGACTAAACTCCCTGCTGCTTAACGGTGCATACAGCTTTTCAGCTGAGTTTAATAAAAAAAAGGATCGGTATTCATTGTACAGTCCGTTATCTTTTTCATTCATTCAATCATTTACGTTGCTAAACCTTTTTCTTTAATCATTTATTTTCTGTTAGTTGTTTAATTGTGTAGTTAGACCAATAAATATTCCATTCATAAAGAGCTTGATGATTTCATTTGCCTGTACACATTGAGAGGAGCTCTGAAACAACCATGAGATTGACATTCAATTGATTCATTTTCCCACCATCATTCTTTCAATACTAATTCATAAATTTAGGATTAATAATTAGTGGAATAATTAATAAAGCATACTGAACATATTTTGATATTTATTCTTATTTATTACATATTATTCTCTACCCACTTGGTAGACTTACACATAGGAGTGTTCTGCTGTACCAACCTGTCGGCTGGACTTCTCCAACAGCGTGAAAAGGTTTCCCTGCGGCAGGCTGAGCACAGGTGCATCGTTAACGGGACTGATGCTGATATCGAACCGATGCAGACGGTTACCCTTCAGAAAAACAGGAAGCATCTTCCTTTTGTTGGAGGATACCGAAAACGTGAAAGAGTCAAGCTGGTCCTCTGAACCGCCGTGAACGTAGATCACGCGGCCCTGCCACAAGTCCAGCATACTGAAGGTGCTCTCCGTCTCTCCTGCTCCCATTGTGATAGTCCTCTCCTGGCCCTCCCGCAGCTTCCCATCAGGGTCGGGACTGAGGTCCAGTTGGAGCTGGCCGTGGGCGGGCTGGCCCTCAATACGGAACATCAGTTGGGATGGGTGAATGCCCAATTTTCTAAAATCCAGATTCACCTAAAAGACAACGTAAAAAGGGACTGAATTGTTGCTATTATGTGAATAAATCCATACTATATACATAGCTAAAGGTGAAAATCAGCACGATCAGCACGATCCGTCCAGTCCTACCCTCATGTGTTTGGGCTCCAGTGGTGCCCGACCTCCCTCCGAAACTTCAAGCTTTCTCAGCAACAAAAAGTTAGTGTTCTTCTTATCTTCGGCGATCGGTTGTGGGGTTGTCTCATCAAACTCGGGACGATCTGATGGACCCATGGTGGTCACCGTATCTTGAACCTGCCCTGTCTTACAGCCTACAGTGACGTCCTTGGTGATGACGGCGTGCGGTAGGCCTGTTCTTCGAGTGTTCACCCTGATTTCGCGGAGGCAGCCTCTGAAGGAGCCTCCCCGCCCGGACGGTCGCCCCGCCGGCACAGCGGACAACAGCCCAGCTCGCCTCGCCTCTCCCCGTGCTTCTTCGTCCAGCCCTCCCAGGAAGAGAGGCCCGTCGAGCTGAATGGCCAGGGGATCCAGACTCGGCGTGGCCTCAACCAACTCCTCGCCCACCTTCAGCTGGACGCTGTTGGGCAGCAAGTGCAGCCGGACGGGGTACCACGTGAGATTGCTGTGAACGTGCATTGCAGAACGCAGCTCAGTTTTGCTGCTCTCTCCAGTCGCCACCGTTGCCACGAGGTTACCGTCTCTGATCTCTATAGCAACGAACCCGCCCTGGTTGCCGGAGGCATACAGGACCAGGCCATCGTCTTCTCTTGCGGAAGGGTACAGTTCACATTCAAACGCTCCCTCCTGCGGCCCTTCCCACGGCGGGAGAGAGATAAAAGCTTTGGAGCTAAAAAAGCTGACAGAGTCTTCTTCCGTGGCCGCAAACTGTGAGCTACAGCCCAGAGACACCTCGTGGACGCTCTTGTACCCAGAATGGGGCCTCAGGCTGGACAACAGGTTGTGTTCATTAAACACAACTTCATCTACGCAGCCTCGAAACCCGGCGGAGGCGTTGAAAAGGAGCGGTCGACTCAGTCCGGCTGTGCCGGCAACAAAAAGGCCGTCCTCGACGCTGAGCTCCAGGTCCGGTCCTGGCATGCGGAGGCTCGTGTGAGAGTTTCCGTCCACGGTCATGTTTACGTTGTGGTGGTCGTGGGTCAGCTCCATGGAGTGCCATGCCAGGTCGCTGAGGTTGATGCCCTTTTCTGAGCGTAGTGAACGCTCACCTGAGCCCAGGTTCAGGCGGACCTGAGGGATGAGGAAGAGTGGGGGAAGGGGGAATAAATAAGAATGCAATTCTACATTGTAAGAAAGAGCAAGACACACAAAAGCAGGCGTGGGATGGAGATTCAAAACAGAATCGTGGCACTTGCTACCTGTGGTAGAGCATTATTTCACACAAAAGCAAGAAAACTCTTTTATGAGGTGCTCCCTTACAGAGATTTTCTCTTTTAACGTTGGTCATGAAGGAACTTGTCCTAAAAGTGCCAGGGGGATTTTTTTTTTCTCTCTGCAAGCAATCTGACACCGAGCTGTGTGTTCTCTCTGTGTCTCCGTAGGATCGTTAGAGGCAATATTTGAACTAGAAAAAGCCTAAAGGAAAAATATTTGTAAGTGTGTGTGAGGACTTGAAGTGAGAGTGAATCTGGGCTAATGTGCGTATGTATTACAACAATCCAAATAAATGATCTTTTTTGTTCTTTAAATTACCAAAAAGACGTCTCGCTAGTGTGTCGCCCATGAACAGCTTCCCGCCAGTTGCTTTTTGACAACCATGCTACTGTGCTAAAATGTGCTAGTGCTAACCTGCAGGCGCCCAGAGAGGAGCTCCAGCAGCAAGAAGTCTCTGCGTCCAGCGGCCAGGAACAGCATGCCAGCCGGACTGGAGGTGCGGAAACGCACGTGAAGCAAAGTCTGATTGGACGCCTCCCTCGTCCGCAGGTGGATGTATCCATCCCCGTAGAATGAGACTACAACAATGAACAAAGAAGACAGGGAAGAAGCAGAGGTTTTAGCTGTCAAGGTCCAGATTTGTTCTATGCTTCTATCTCATTTATATCTGTATATTAAAAGACCGAAATAATGGAATGAAGATGTGGTGACTAAAGGCTTTCTCCCTGCACAGGCTATTCCATTCAATTGTATTGACCAGGTTTCCAATGCGGCGTCTATCCTGCACTTTACACCTGCTATCCAAATCAATTAATGACAACTAATGCACTCTGGAGCGGGTCATCCAGAAATATGCTGTTGCTAATTAGAGTTGCCTGTTAAACCGAATGAAGCAGGTTGGACTAAATTCTCCGACAGAGCTGCTCTGAAAGCACAAATACACAGCACAGATTGCAGCCCACGTACCCAACTCAAATTTGGAACCTGTGAGCAAAATATGAATAAAAATATGTAATGGACCGCCATTGGTTTTGCATTCAAATTGCCTCTTAACGCCAGATAATTGCTTGTTTAAATGTTCCATGTTTAGGGGTCATCGGGCTACATTTAGTGTGCAACCTAACGAATAGGGGTTAAGATACCAAAAGTTGTGGACCAATCAAGCGTCTCTCCATTCTCCCCAGAGTCTAAAAACCTTCTGTAAATGTGGCCCGACACTTTCCATTCTAGGGTTTTATAATTGTGTCTATGTGTAATTACAAAGTACTTGTGTTTAATAGTGAAGCCAGAGTCCCCAGGACTGACATCTGTGAATGAAACAATAAATTAGGCTTCACTTCAATCAATTTGACCTACAAAGCAGCTGTTAGAACTATTGGAGCGTGTTGTTAAAAGGACAATTTGTTGAACAATTAGCAAAGAGAGGTCAAAGAGAGAGAGAGAGAGGCTGTGTGTGCTGTTGGGGATGGTGACACCCTTACAACTATAAAGCTCTCTAAAGAGTGCAGCAGTGTAGAGTGATTGTGCGACTGATTCAATGATTTGAATTAAAACACTGAAAGAGGGTAATGCATTGAACTCGGATAAAAGAGCTTGTTAGCCGGAGGGGGAGGAACACAGATGCTGTAACATTTTATGAGCAAACAACTTTAAAAAGCTGCTGTGTGCAGCTAAACAACACTTAGTTAATTTACATGGCACCCAATAATACAAACAAGTCAGACAGCAAGACATGCTAGACTTTTACCTGCAGGGAACTTATAACCATTTAACCTTTATACATAGTGTTATTATTGGTTTTCTGGCAGGCGCTTCAAGCATCTGCCAAGTTTGCCAACATTTCTCAAAAAACGTGTTATCATTTGATGTTATGGTGAAGATTTTGTTGACTAAAATCATTTAGGACCTCGGGGCATCTAACCTTTGTGGCTAGATATAACAATGTGGTTTGCATTCATGAGTGTTTTAGCTTCAAGGAGAAATACTAACAATACAAAAAAAAAATAATGATAGTTGGGCATTCAAGATAATCATTTATCATTATTGTATTGCCTTTAAATCCCTTCTGCCTGCGAAATAAATAAATGAAACTGGTCCCACTGAGAAGCACTCAGTCAGCATGCCCCTGTGCATAAAGCCTATAAGCCGGCTGTCAGTATCCCCCCATGCCTGTCCATCTATGTCTAATCTGTCTCAATGATACCAGTGAACATTGGATTATTTGTAATTTTCCGACAGGGACAGACACACCTCCAATGTGTGTTTGGTCTGCTGCCGAAATGATGAAATATCACTTGTGCAAATGCAGCAACTTCTGTTAGGAAGTGTTGATATTTTTTGGAAAACTATTTCAATTTGATCAGAAATGTTGACTGAGAAGTTGTCCACTTGTCAAAACTAATCTAAACGCAAAACCAAATGCTCTCTTTTTAACATAAAATTAATATTATCCTATAAGTAATTAAATGCTTTTCGATACAGGTAGAGGCTTGTTTATGATGGTTGCTGCAGAAGTAACAGCACAAGTGAAAACTATCTTATAGACAAAACTCATTTAGTGAGCAGCGTGACATCCGACCAAGCACCTGTGCCCCTGTGTTTATATAATAATCCAGAATATGGCAGAATATTACCACATGGCTTCAGACAATTTACGATGGATTAAACATTAATCTGCCAACCGTGACAGACGCATTTAAACTCGGTCAATTGCTGTGAACTGCCTTTGCAACGTTATCCTCATCATCTCCTGCGCAACCTAATTAATGGGTGATGACATTAACTTAAACCACGACTTGTGTGTGAACTCTGAGAACTATTCAAAACTAAAGCTGCATGATACTCAAAGCATGATTCTTTCCATTATAACAATGCAACAAACCATTCATTTGTAATGATTTGGAATAATTGCTCTCAGGTAACTTTTGCATCTCAAGTCAAGAGAAAATATGACTTTGTCTCCTCTGCAGCGCCTTACCTCCATAAACGTGTCCTGTGGAAATCAGCAGGAGCAGAAACAGATCAACAACAAGACTCCCCATTGCTAGTCAGGCCCTTAAAATCTAACTTGCATTTCATTAAGAGCAACTTCTGGCAGCTGGATTGTGCAGTCCATTGTCTTCAGTGCACGGCACTGGCCCCCATTTCAACCCGCAGGCTACTTCCAGACGGACTCTACCTGCTCTGCAGGCTTCGGCTTACACTCTTTAAAATAGTTTTACCTGTGGCTGCTGGCAAAGCAGGAGCTCCACCCTCGGATCCTCCCCGTGGCCGACGGTGCTCAGCGCTGGACATGAACACAAGGGGGAGGTGTCGCAACACGTGCAAAGCAAGTAGTGCATCGTTGTTCATAGATTGAAACTTGTAGTGTAGTTAATCACATTATTAGGACTTTGGTCCATTTTGATTAGAATTTTGCACACCTTTGGCATGAAATTATAAATCCTACTATTGGTTGTTCTTATTCAGATGTTCAGGTCTTAAGAACAGAGCTTAAAGGCAGTTTGTGCTTTATTTTTATTTAATATGTATTAACTTCATCTCTTCTAATCACTTCCACACTTGGCCGACCCAGTAAATTGTTATTCGCAAAGATTAAAGATTAAATCTGCCATTTTATAAAAATAAGTAGGTTTTTGGCTCATTGATACTATAGTATTGCAGTGCTGCTTTATGGTACAGAACGTGCCTCAGCCAATTGTAATCGAGGACCGAAACTATTCATTTAAAAAACTGTGTTTTTTTCAGGTAAGCAGGTTTACTACTAATATTTAAAAACGTTCCACTCAGTGACTTTAACCATGAATTCAGCTGAACGTACAAACAAAGGAACAGGATCGTCTGTCATTTCTTACCTTAACTAGAATACTATTGAATTGACCTCCAAAGACGGACAGAAAATAATGCAGATATGCAGAGAGAGACAGAAAGAGGGAGAGAGAAGGAGAGAGAGAGAGAGAGAGAGAGAGAGAGGGAGGAAGTAAAAGGGAACAAGTGTTTAAAGGAGGGAAATGGCCTGTGGCAGATCGAGGTAAAGTGGAAGTTTGGGTGTGATTGTTAAAATGCAGGACACACTCCCTAGTCTGTATCCTGAACCCCTCCCACCCTTTAACTTACTACTTCTACACACACACACACACACTTTAAAATGGGCTGTGAGGCTGCAGCTTGAGAGCATTTGGTCCATTAAAATGTTGAAAGAACACACATGAGGGCCTTTATTCAGCTGCTGATTCAAACTCTGCTTGGCTCGCTCTCGTGAGAGGAGTGATGGGTTTAGGGTTAGTTCCCAGGGTGTCGAATAATAGATCCCGCAGCCTGGTTTCTTAGACGGAGGGGTCACTCCCAAAAATGGGTCACAGTTCAGTGGTGACGGGTCCTCTCACGACGAGAGAGGTGGTTTGTTTTAATGAGCGCGGATCCCACGCCGAGAGGATTAGCGTCTTGTCTTTCGGGCTGGAAAAGTCTTTTAAGTCCGTCAAAAAAAAAAACCCCAGACAACTGGATGTTTGTATTGAGCTTAAATTAATACATTTCCCATATCTATCATAGCAACACAACCCATTCAAAGAGGGATTTCCGATGCTTTATGCAAACAAAGGTTTCGCTAAAGTCCATTCAAACCATTCGGTAACCACTGTATTGAATGTTGTAAATATATTTTAATCAATTGAAAGAGAAACCCATCTCTTAATCATGAAAAAAAGGACTTTAATCTTTAGGAAAATGCTGCGACATTCTCATTGCACGGAATTAAAACTCTTTTAAGAGTTTGAGATGTGCGTTGCCCTTTCAAATCAAGTACAAAAACCCCAACTAAAGCTTTACAACTGTTGTAATACAAGGTAGAGAACAGGAACCACCTGGCCGAGGAGGCAAACAGCGCAGACCAGGAAGAGATGGAGGATTTGGGACCGATTTAACCAGCCGCAGCTAAAACAACAAAAACACACCACAGGGCTGGATGGACCGTCCTGAAAGCTCCCTGCTTCTTACACGTGTCCCCAACACGGCAAATTAATAGAAAAGAAAGTAAAACCTGCTTTCCTCCTTGAAAGATAACGAATCTTCCTCCCACACCTACATGTGTTGGCACATTTGTGCCTGATAGAAGCCGCTCTAGTTCTCCCGAGGAATTCAATAAAAATCCATTGATTTTTGAGTTGCTAAACAAGCACTAAGAGAAGAAAACAAAAAGAAAGAGGCACATCATCCTCCTTTAGCGGCCGAGATGAATGAGTCAGTGTTTTGATGCTGGAATATAAATAAAGTTAATGGAAGAAGGCTTGAAGCCCCGTGTGGGCTCCGGCATAAACTATGGCCTGCGCTCGCGGTCCACTTCCAGTATAAATACAGTAATTGAGTGACACATCCATTCTCTATTTATGAGCTGGTTGCATAAGAGAGCGGGGAAGGAAGAATAGCGCTATGGAGAAAGACCAAGAGAAAAAGATGCAGATGAAGTTCAGAAAGAGATGCTCCAGATCCACAGATAGATATCAAACCATGAAGAACACAGGACATTTGCATTTTTCTTGGCCATTTTTGGCATTTAGCTTAAATATCATGACATTTTTTAAACAAAGCTCAACAAAGAGCAGCTCGGGGCATTTGCTTCCGTCCAGGGAGGGGAGTGCGTGTTTGTGTATTTGTGAGGGAGGCCAGAGCTCGGTTCAGCCTTTCATTAAGTGCACTCTCTCCATCATTAGCTACAAGTTGTAAGGCCCACCACGCAATTCACAGTCAGTGTGTTGTTCTGTGCGAGTGTGTGTGTGTGTGTGTGAGTGTGTGTGTGTCTAACCTATCGCCAGAGGCACCTCTTCAAATGTTTCGGGGGAACCTCTCAGATATTTGATATTTTGCTCCTAAAAACATGCAACGCGATGCCGGGACCAGCTGCTACCTCTGCTTGGGGACACATGGAGTCTTTGTTTGTGTGTGTGCGTGTGTGTGTGTGTGTACCCATGTGTGAAAGTGATTGCGGTGTGACTCACTTTGAGTCATAACTGCTCCATTTAGCTCGCTTGTTGAAAAGAGACACAAATAAGAGAGGATAATAATCCTATTGACGGGACTTATTACATGAACTAGAAGTAGTCCGAGTTCGATCGCTGGTCAAAGAAACGGATGGAAACACAAACAGGCGCAACATTACAGATGTGTGTGTTGATCAAACAGGTGTCCAACTCCCATCGTCTCCCACCTCGCGTTCACTTCTGTTCTCCACGCCATCTCGTATGGGAATGTAATTGGCAGTTAACGTATTTGATCATTACCACTAAACATGGAACAGGCTGACGGGAATGCGGCTGGTTCTGCAGGTTTTGGTCACAAACCTTTTTACCTGCCGATGAGGATCACCACGTTTCAGCCCATCCTGTCGGGTGAACCGCCCCGTCACACAGAATCCATCGACTCAGACGCCAGCTGTCGTCCTGAAAACACTTTCATTTTCCTCTCTGCCTTAACGGCCAATAAAACATATCGTTCTGTGAAAACAAAGACATGCAGCATCTGCAAGATCAGCACTCCCAGTGATGAGTGACGGGAAGGGAGAGTGCAGAGAAGGCAGGATAGGAAGGGATGAGAGGAAATGACCTATGGGCGTCTCTTAATGTTTTAGTTAGGCTTTTTTTCCAAAGTGGGGGGAAAAAACAATTGAAGAAATGGAAGAAGCCTGATTTCTTTTTTTTTTTTTCAATGTTAGGAGTGATTGTTTTCCAATACCTTTCTGAAAAAGATGTAGAATGAAATCCCATCTTGGTCTTTGTCAGGAATCCTTTTCCCAAGTACTTTAAACTTTGAATGCACGTACTGGCACAAGCTAACAAGCATACAAAGACACTTTCAAACACAAATCCCCCAAGTTACACGTACCCTTTTCTTTTGTCTTACACACACACACACACACACACACACACACACACACACACACACACACACACACGTAAACACACTCACTCTCCTCCCCTGATACAATATCAGGCTTTCTGCTGATGATTGTTTTGCTCTCATCTCAAATCTTCGTCTCCATCATCGTGACAAAGGTCAGTCGCCAAACACAATGGCTGCCAGCAGCTGGCGGCCTGACTCGCTGCCAAACCGTTTGACCCTGAAGCTTATCACATCGTTTAACATTGTTTAAGACTTCTCAGCAAAACACAATCTGAGTCACTGTCTAATTTGTATAAAAAAACAACGTGTTTGAACTACGAACAGGGTATAAAGGACGCGCTGTCACTCGCGGCAGAGTTCCAAATGCTCGTCGCGCGCATTTACTGTTCGACTGATCGAGGACGTGCGCGGGGCGAGGTGGTTTGCAGGGTTGGATTTTCAAACCAATCCGAAGCATTCATGTTCCCTCACAAGTGGGCGTGAAAAACGAGCTTGTTTGTGAGTTTGAAAACAGGGGAATACGTTGCACATCACGCGCTCTCTCCCGGAGCAAACATCTGCTCTCTGCCTGTGATCTTTTTCCATGCAACGACTAACTGTGTTATCTACGGTGATACAATTTCCCACTGTACAACTCCCTCGCCGGAGGCTTTCGGTTGGAGTGCTGGCCATTTTATAGTCCCCGGAATAGGAAAAAAAAACAGCATACCAGTGTGACAAAACATGCATACAAATAAAGTATTTATTTGATAAACACCAACTTACTGACAGCTAAATGGAAACAAATGCACCTTCGGTTGCACAAAAAAGGTTTAACAGTTGTGTCTATATACTGATAAGTTAATATTTATGTGTTTTAATTAAATGGACAGTGCTTCACTGTGCATTAAGACAAGCCCGGGACGTTTTCTTCCCCAGTTAAACCAGCACAACCTGCACAAAAACTCCAGACTCTCCGTCTTTTAAAAGAAAATTGTGAGCCTGGGAAGACAGGCTGGTTGAGGGATACATGAAAGAGTGAATTGTACTAAGTTGAACTAATTAGGAGGCAGCGAATGAGACTGAGCAACAAGAACTGAGGTCAGAGGTCAAACTGTAACCTGCTTATTAAGTGAGTTAGATATGAATCAGCTATTGTTGTCTGCCAAACGGTCTGATATCTTGGGGGGACTTCTGCTCTAATACAGATATCATTCACTTGGTTGTGTTCTTCATCTTCAAGTAGAAAGTGAAATGCGTTGGACGAGATGTGTTTTAACTCCCCGTAGCTGCTCATTTATTGTGCGTGGTCCCCATGAACCACGCGTGTGGTG